CTATCCTGTCCACTTGCCCGCAATCCTCCCTTCGACCATCTGGGAGTTTACACCTAACTCTAGATGTTTGGCCCTCTTAGCCCGGTACTCTATTTTTAGACACTGATGTTGTAAATATCAGCTGGTGTAGTCAGTCAATCATGCTCATGACGCAGGATGAGAAGATGGTGTTGGAATCAAGTATTCTTGATGAATAAATAATTATACTTGATATGGTATCGAATGTTTAATGGAATTTGTTGAGTAATCAATTATGTCTTCAATAGAAAAAACAAGTCACATACAAGAGTAATTAATGATAAGTCTTCATACTCTTGAAGGACTTAATGAAATAAATTTGTAGTTGCTTATACAATATATTGTTGTCTGGCCTTGACAATATTTTGACGAATTGGGTCACTTGTGTCAGTTCCTTGAGGTACGGGGTCGAAGCGTTGGTTCGACCAAGAGAGACCGTACGGGGTCGAAGCGTTGGTCCGACCGAGAGAGAATATAAATTGCCAGATTTATTCTTGTGCGAGGTGTGACTAGCTTGTTATTAATATAAAAATGTACCTTGTGAGCTGCAGACAAGGTGTGTTAGTTGCTGCGTAATTGATGTTCCCTTTGATTACTATTCCATTGGTTTCACTGTAAATCGCTACTAAATCTACCGATTTCCTTTTAATAATTCACATTGTACAAATTGCAACTCGTCGTTCCGACTTATATTATCAAGGCCGATTCGACGGATACAATTTGATGCCGTTGACAACTCAGAGACCACAGGTGTTGTGTGGTAGCGATGACAGGTCACAAATGGAAGGGATATTATAATAATACAATAAAGATTTGGCTGAAGTATATGCTTTTTATTCTGTTATTTATTAATGACAAGGTTGACTAGTATTACTATTATTACTTGTAGAACTAAATTCTTGTATTGAAGTGATGTGTTGCGGAGACAACTGTACAATAATCTATGCAGCTTGATTGTTGAATACGAATGGCGAATGGCGCGAAGTTTCGTTCGTCGACACTAGCGCCTTTTGAACGAGCACGTATGTGGTTGAGGTTATGAATGTAGCTTTATGATTGAAAAATATTGCAAAGTAGCGCGAAACTGGATTTGTCGACACTTGCGCTGGGTTTTGCTTACTTTCGTAAGCTTCCAAACTTGAACTAAGGTGAGGGTTACTAAATGAGACGCCCCTGGCGGGCGCGAAACTTGACAACGCGTACTGGAATTTATTCCGCGTTATCGTATTAAGAGTAGCTTCCTTGTTCTTAGTACTTGTTGATGTAATACTCTGAATCTCAATATATATATATTTATTGTAGTAGATACTACTTACAAAGACTAATCGTTGACTCGTCTTCGGACTCTGATAGGCGGATTGTCCTGGCTTGGAACAGGTAACTACAGTTTCTTGAACTGCGTTAGTGGACGTACGAATTTATGTCGTGGTTCTTCCGGGGCAGTAACTAAAGTTCCAGTAACAGTGATAATGGACAATACGAAGAAGTGTAAGTCGTTCCCGAAATAGCGCTAAATGGACTTTCACTAAAACTTAACTGAGTAGAAATGTCTCAATGGTTTAATATTGAGAGAGTATTACTAAAAGAGAGATATCAAAAATACTAATAAGCAACAGATATCAAAAAAGGAGAGACACTTCAAAAAAGAGTAATATCACGAAAATACTACTAAAGAAAAACTATCGAGAGTAAATATCAAGACAGTTAAATATCACGAGTGATAAGTATTAAGAGAGTTAAGTATCAAGAGTAAATAAGTATTGAAAATTGCGCCCCTTAAATATATTTGCTGACCATGAATTTGACGTGAACCCCTTCCCTTATTTTCTGTCCAATCAGAGACTCCTCCCTTATAGTGCGAGGTCAGCATCTCTTTTGGTTTCAGAGTTAATTAAGGGCCTAGTCGTCTCTGGGTCTTCATGATGAGTAGATCTCTCGTTGCTGCTGCTGCATGCGACAGCATGTAGGCAGCGGAAAGGGGGGGCATCGCTGACACATCTGGTGACAGCATTGCAACTTGTAGACAGCGGGAAAGGGAAGGAAGGTCCGCTTCCAGTAATACTTGATGTAGTTGCCGAGCGGAATGAAAATGCAGATGTCAAAACTATATGTTTTCCCGTGTTTATGGTATTGTTTTTCCAGATGTATTATGACACTAATGCGTGAGAATTTTGAGCAAGCCAAGTTTTGAAATCCAAATACAAATTTTACGATGGTACTTGCCAGATGTTTTATTGCACTGACAAAAAAAGGAAAAATGTTCTCGCATTCTCGAACACACATGTATATTATTTACTAGGCCGCCGAATTTATGGCCACGTGTCGTCGTCACAGTATATATTAAAATACTGAGCGGCAATTAACAGTTTATTGAGCGCGATGTAGGATTAGAATGAGCATCGCCACATGACGAGCTGCCCTTAAATATGCACGCAGCGGATGCAACGCCGGCAACAGTGCCGCGGCGTGTCGATATACCGAAAATGCTTTGTGGCGTTAGAAAACGAAGCTTGTAGAAGTTTCGTAGGCGTTTTTCCTTTGTGATATGTTATAGTATATTTTATAGTATTTAGACTTGTCGAGTTTTGTTTATAAACATTCGCTCAAGCGCGCATGCCGTGCGCCGTACCTGTTCCAAGTAAAATAGAAATATAATCAAGCCATTAATTTAATAATATATGAATATATTAGAAATCAAAATATATGGTTCATTGTTATTGTCCAATTGCTATCGCTATTAGCAATTTGAGTTTTTAATTTAAATATATTTAAAGAACTAAATTTTACCTAATATTTTAATGAAATATATTAAAATCTATTTTTTATTATGATTAAACGCTTTAAATTTAAGGAACACATTTTTTATTTATTTTGTACGTTTATTTTCATTCTCAGTAATGAAAAATATTTCTCTGAATTTGATTCACTTATGTATTTTCAAACATAATTGATCAATAATACTAATCATTAGTTTCTGTAAAGACATTTTGTCAAAATATAATAAGTTTAATGTTACATATTTTCATATTATACTTACAAACATTTTTGATGGAATATCAACAATAGTAAATCGATTAAATAAGCTGGTAATATGTGAAAGAAAAATGCAAATAAATTATGAATAAATTTTTTATTTCTAATATTACCATCTGGATACCATATTGCATTTTCAAATGGATAATCATATGCTATTGATTTTCCTTTTTGCAATACTTCACTCCATGTAATAGGCATAACTCCACTTTGTGTAATATTGTATACAGGTATATTTATTAATCTAAAAAATATATAAATGAAAAATTTAATGCTATAAATATATACATTATATGAATTTTATACTTTTCTGCACTAGTCCCAGTTTTATAAGCAATAGTAATTAAAGCATTAATTGCTAAATCTACAGGAATTACTTCTGCATGATAATTTCCATTACAATGCATTGAACGAATAATCCCTTTTCCAGCTCCTACTATTAATCCAACCGGTCCATTTAAATTATCAACCCATCCTGGCAAAGGCTCTGACCAAGCTGGTGTAACTATAAAATATAATTTAAAAAATTTTATGATTATACTATTTTTGATACTAATTTATCATATAACAATACTATGTTCAACTGTTTTCCTTTATTATAATTTACTTTCAGTTCAATGTTATTAAGTATATGAAATATATAATTTTATTAAGAATATAAATGATTAATTTATTAAATAAATAGTTTTTAAGTAAATATTTCTCGTTTATTTCTCAAGATATTTCAAGTTTTTTAAATATTCTTACTATTCTTTATAACATTAGTAAAGGAATAGATTCTTTTATAAATAAAAACTTTATAATTGGTTGTTTTCTTTTCTTTACTTCTTTTTCATTTAGCTATTTTAATTAATTAGATAGCTTTCAAATTTTAATTATGGTGATTTATTGTTTTTATTAATATAATTTATCATGCGAATTGCAGTGTTTATTTTATTTAGTCGATTCTTTTAAAATTACTAGTAGAACATATCTTAGAACAAACATCATTTCTTGCTGTCATTTAAAAGAAAATGTAAACTGCCCTATATTATTGTAATACTATTCTACGTCTTGCAATCATTATATAGTTAAATCACATTATATTGTATTTATTATACTATACTGCATAATTATTTTTTGTATTAACTTGAATTTATTTATTATATTAATATGTGTTATTACTCAATATCAATATATCAATTATTTTCATCTTTAATTCAGTGCTGTTGATACTGTTGCATTATGGAGAGTCATAATTTGAAAAATTTTATATTATTTATCTGAATTGAAATACGAAATTCTGTTAGCTAATTTTGTAAACAACTTAATTTAAAATAATTTATATTAAATTTACTACTACTTATTTGTTTTATTTAAAAATATTATATAATAATTTTATAATAGGATAAATATAATAGGATAAACAAGTGTTCATTCTCTATAAATATATCAAGAAATAATTGTTAAAAATATGCCTAGAATTTTTAATTTTATACATAATTGAAAATAAAAATTTAGATATTAATTATGAATTTTAAATGAAGTTAAGGAAACTTCTGGCACTAGCATGGAGCATTTTTTTTTTATTCTCGGAAAATTTTATAAGCCTTCTAGTCCACGAATGTTTGTAAGCATTTGACAAGCAGAATTCTCAAATAGCTCAAAGCTTAGATTCTCGAACGTTCTGCAAGTCTGCCAGTCTTTGCATAGCAGCACCTAAGCATTGTTGCCAGCTAGTGTTTAGCTACCAGGCTGATACTTGAGGAAGTGCGCATCAAGACTCGTCGTAGTTATCACTCAGCAACTATTCAGTTCAATATTCCTCCGAGTCAGTTACTCGTCCTAGTCAGTCATCTACACCCTAGCCACGCTATTAAGCCCGAATCTACAGCAGAGAGAAAATCGCACGATCCACGCTCTCTCAGTGCAGCTATTGCAAGGAACACGCGGTCAATTCTCCAGTGCCCAACGGTTAACAACCAGTCAAGGGCTGACTGCACTACAAGGAAATAGTTGACTAAATGAAGCATGGTATCGGACCTTCCTTCTCACGATGGTATATCAGCAGACTTTATTGAAAGTCACTACCACCCAATTAATGCTATACTCCCTTCATAAGTATGGTCGGCTCTCACTATATCAAACTATATTCCCTTTCAAGGAATTATGTTGCTGCTCCCCATAACGTCATCAACGACATCGTCACCATTACCAAGGAGATACTACATCATTGTGATAGAAAAAAATTCACTCTCTACCACGAGAAATGAATTCAGAACAATAGTGTAATTGTCAAAAAAAACCAAGCAAACGATGTTTTAACGAAGTTTACACACACTGTACATATTGACAGCCCTTCCATTTATGTTCTTTCCTAAGCATCGCTAAGGCGGGCGACAAATAAACTGAACAATTGAACTTGACAGTTCGAGCCAGAAAATTAAATACATTTTCAACGTTTGATCCTTCGAACCGGATCAAATACACAAACTTTCGAACAAAATTATATAGTCGATATTGTTATAAAAATAATGAATGAAATTATTTTAAAAATTTCCAGTAATGTAATAAATATAATAAATGTTATTACTATAAAATACATAGTTTTACAATTTCTTTGATTTCTTTTTAAATTATTTACTGTAAATTCTTCAATTTAATCAATAATCAATATGCATATATGTATATACAAGTGTGTGTGCATGTACTCAGCTATGAGCGTATGTATACATTAATACGTTTTTAAATTATTTGATAATTTTTCAATATAAAAAGTTAAAATAAAAGTCAACGAACCTATAGATGGACGTGCAATTGCGCATCGTAAATTTGGAAATTCTTGTGCAACCAATTCCTCTGCTAAACGTTTTGAATAAGTATACGTATTTGGATGTGGCTCAATCATCCTAAAAAAAATAAAAATTAATATGTGAATAATATTTTTTAAATACCTATAATATAACTTAACATTTTCAGAAAACTAAACAAAATATATTTCACAAAAAATTGTAATATGGAAAATATATTTAATTCGGATATTCTCATGCTTTTATCTTCTTTTTCACTATAACATCTTTATATTTATTTTTATTATTTTGTAAATAGACATCGATACTTCCTAATTATTTCAATAAAAATTATTAATGATAATTATCCAATTGGCTATGTTCATGAGCATAATTAGTATTTAATATTCTTCAATATTTCTATGAAATAATTTATTATTTTAGTCATTTTTATACTGGTCTTAAAATTTAGTTAATTTGATGTCTGATTAACACTCGGTAAACTTACTACACAGATGGATTTTTAGAAATTATACATATATCTATTTTTCAATCCTACCAGTACGTTCTTTATAAACGATAGACAATTTTTATATTTATATTTTAATCTGGGATCAGACTATAAAATCTCCCTGTGATGTTCGGTGGGAGGATTACTGGTAAGTGGAAGAGGAAGGCGCATTTATTCAATATTAATACACAACGTATCTTGGTTTTTCTCTTTATTTACAGACTACACAATGAATATGATTCTAAGATGGCTCTGGGAATCTGTGAGGTCTTTCAGTATTTTTCACGTGGCGATGGTATTCACTACCTGCAGCAGTAGGAGGTGTAAATCTCTGGTTCAATATCTGCCCTTATAGCCGTAATGTATATTACACTTGTGGCCGTTCGCGGGACGTTCGCGATCGCAATATATAGTTTCTGTTCGGGATTGATGCAATTCCACGAATTTAAGAAAAAGTGGGTCATACGCGCTGTACCGCGCACGGCACGCGCACTCGGGCGAATGTTTATAAACAAAACTCGACAAGTCCGAGCAAGTTTTACGATCTGAAATATAATATACTATAAAATCTCACAAAGGAAGAACGCCTACGAAACTTCTAGAAGCTTCGTTTTCTAACGCCACAAAGAATTTTCGGTATAACGACACGCCGCGGCACTGTTGCCGACGTTGCATCCGCTGCATGCATATTTACGCACAGCTCACCATGTAGCGACGCTCATTGTAATCTTACTTCGCACTCACTTAAGTGTAATTGCCGCTCAGTGTTTTAGTATACTGTAAAGACGACACGTGGCCATATATTCAGTATTCAAGTTAATAATACACGTGTGCATTAATAAAGGGAAATCGGCAGATTTAGAAGTGATTACAGTGAAGCCAAAGGAATAGGGTCGAATAGTTAAGGGGGACATCAGCATCGCAGTAAATCAATACTTCTTGTTAGTATTTTACAAGGTACATCTTTATATTAATAAATAAGCTAGTCACACCTCGCACAAAAATAAATCGGGCAATTTCACATTAATTTGGTCGAACCAACGCTTTGACCCCGTACAGGCCCGTTAGAGTTGATCGGAAAAACTTACGCTCTTTCGAACTAACCCTTCGAAACCGAACAGACCCGCTAGCAGAAATAGGGCAAACTTACGCTCTCTCAAACTAACCCTTCGAATTAACGTATCTCAACGTAGATACACAAGCGACGGCTCATCACGTACACGTAAAATTAGCAACGGCTATACAAGCAACGGCTCATCACATGCGCTTGAACAACTACGGTTTCCCACAACAACATCGAAACAGCAACGTCTGTTACGCACATTCCTTACGACTAAAACGTGAAACTCCTCAAGGAAGTAGAGACACACACCTCATGCTACTGATAGTACACAATCTCATCAACACATAAAATTACTGAAGAAATTTCATAAACTTAAGTCACTTATAATCAACATTCATATATATCTATAACCATTAATTATAATCATATTATTATATTTAATAAAGGGAAAACCAAGATACACTGTGTGTAGGATTGAATAATTGCATCTGCCTCTTTCACTTGCCAGCAAACACCCCCACCTAACAATATCGGAGGTTGTTAAGTCTGATCCCAGACATACATTAATATAGAAATATTATACCTGTCCTGTACAATATATAAACGTAAATCTAAAACATTTATTTGTTAAATTCATACATGTATATTACTATTTTTAATTTATAACATTAAATTTAAATTTGTTACATAATAAGATTTATAATATTATATATTTAGATATAAATTTGTATTAATTAATTTTAATCGATTATTTATTAAGCAGACAACTTAATTTTTAAACTTATTTTTAAGATTTATTTATTTTCAATCTACAGATACAGTTCTATAGTATCTAAATAAATATCGTATTGAATAAAATCTTATACTCATAAAAATGTTATAATATTATTAAAATAATTAAAATATATATATAAATAAAAATTGATAATCTAATTATCAATATTATTTAAAATTAGATACTTACTTAGATGTTATTGAACTTAATGCATTATCTTTCAACCAATCTACAAATTTAATAATATCATTAGGATTATCTGATGTATCGTAAATTCGTTCAGAAAGCTCTTGTTGATCTACATGACAAAATGCAGTACTCAAGTGAATAAATGCTTTCAAATTTACAATTTCCTTCGCCAAAGTCAAGATATTCTTAGTACCAACCTTAAATATAAAAAATAAATCCGATTAAAATTTGTTGTTTATTAAATAATTATTTAAAGTACTTAACTAAAATGTCAATGAGTAAACTTTTTAATTTAATGTTTACATATTAAAAATTATTTAGGTTTCTTAGATAATAATAGTTATTATTTGCTGAAAACATTATTTATTATTTACGATTAATTAAAATTAAAGAAGTTAATCACTTCTATAGTAATTTAACAGAATGTGATTAATGTATCTTTTATTTTTTTGTAACTTGATTTTATCAATATTTCTTCATATCATATCCTAGAGTCTTAGCAATTAATGCACTTATTTCCACTTAATTAATAGTATTAACTAAGTAAATAAGGGAATATGTCTTCTGCCCTTTAGGACTTGTAACGACCGTTTTCTTGAACTACGTTAAATGGACTTCCAATTCTTATTTGAATAAGTACTGTATCGAGAGTGTGAGAGTATTGAATACATTTGCTGTTCCCCCTTAAATACATTTGCTGTTCATGAACTTCACTTGAATCCCTTCCCTTATTTTCTGTCCAAACAGAGTGTTCCTTGCTTACAGAGAGAGGGCAGCGCCTCTTGTGGTTTCATAATCAATTAAAGGCGTAGTCGTTTCTTGGTCTTCACGGCAAGAAGAGCTCTCATTGCGTCTGACGCATCAGGCGACACTATGACAGCTTGTAGACAGACAGCTTGTAACAGACATACCGCTTGAATTTAGTTACCGAGCCGAGCGAATCCGTACAGATGCCTAATGAGTTGGGTTTTCCCGAATTTATTATCTTGTTTTGCAGATGTTTTATGACACTATTGCTAGATGGTCGTGAGCAAGAAATTTTCGAAACATAAAACGACAAATTTATGATGTTGTTTTGCCAGATGTGTTATTGCAAATAATTTAGATATTGATTGCTGTTGTTGCAAGTAGTGTGATGATCATTGTGATCAGAATTGCTGGACACGTTGCTGAATAAATTGCCAACGGTGCAAGCTAGATATTGACAATTTTTCTAAAGATGGTTCGGGTATAGTGGTATGTGGATGACCGATAAAAAATGGCCTGGAGTTAGTGCACAGCAGTCATCTGGATTGTCACTCAAGGGCTCTAATGGCCTTGAGTTTAAAATTGCCTCAATTTGAGACAACAGAGTCGTAAGTTCCTCAAACGTAAGCAGCTGTCATCCTCCAAGAATCCAATACTATTGTCGTGTATGCGCTAGGGTAAATTGGGTGCCTCCATGTAGCGTGCTTTGATGGGCCTGGGCTATTACAAGATCAGAAAATCGTGATTGGCGTGGTAAAATTGCTGGATGTTTTTGTTCGTATGCGAGGGATGATTTCATCAACCGTCCTCCTACTTGGATGACTCCTTGCAAATCAATGTAAGCTGTTAAGCGATGGAGTGTATGTCCATTTGGCAATTTAATTTTGGACTCAAGCATCTTGAGTTCATGGGAAAAATAAGCAGCCTGGGTTGCCTATATCCAGAATAGTCGTGCATTTTCTAATTCCTGTTGAGTTATGTGAGTGTCCGGAGATGGTTCATGCCTTTTCCTGAGGCGTTCAATGAATCCGATGTATAGGGCTATGATTCTCAATATCTTATGTAGTTTAAAGAATTTATAAATTATGTCCCAGTGATAGTCAATTTTTGTATAGTAGCTGCAAGAGAGATGCCAGGGCGGGCTTCTTGTTCACACAGTTCGTCACTCTGCGTTGGCTGCTTTGGCCACGATTCTGGTGACTGCATCCGTGGTGGTCCCGTCTACCATAGGTTATGATCTTTGAGTTGAGCGATAGTCAGTCCTTGCGAGGCACAGTCAGCAGGGTTGAATGTTCCGGGCACTTAGTTCCATTGAGAATCTGAATTGATCTCTTGAATTTGTGCTACCCGATTTCTCACAAAGTCCTTCCAACGCGATACGTAGGATTTTATCCATGCAAGTATTACCCTTGAGTCTGTCCACAAGTATGTAGCCGTTATCTTCATTTTTAGTGTGTTCTTGACATATCGCATGAGTTCTGATAGTAGCAATGCTGCGGTTAGCTCCAACTTGTATGGTAAGTCGTTTTAATGGGACTACCTTGGTCTTGGAGTAACCTGGAGTTGTGGATGACAAGATATATTACTGCTGACATTGCCAATTAAGAAGCATTAGATAAACTATGCAGTTCGACAGTTGATCCCTTCTCTGTGTAGAACAATCTTGGTATTTTGATAATATTTAGCTCCGAAAGATCCTTTTTATTAGTGCTCCACCTACTTGAAATTTGATCTGGCAGTGGATCGTCCCATTTTATTGTGTGTAGCCATAGTTCTTGCAGCATCATCTTTGCTCTTATTACCACCGGTGAGACAAAACTTAGTGGATAAAATATTTTAGATCAAATATTATTTGACAGTATCAATCTTTTTGTTATCTGGGTGGCGACTATAGACACTGTTGTTGTAAATGCAAAATTAACTTCTTGGGGATTCCATTACAATCCGAGAATTTTGGTTGTGCAATCATCAAATGTTGTTGGTTCCTGGTTGGACTCTGTTTTTATGATGGTGAGGACGTCTTTATATGTTGAATGCCATTTGGATAAAGGGAACTCGCCCGCCTTGCAGAGGTTCTGCAGTTGTAGCGCGATTTCAGCAAGGTCTTGGAGCGTGTCGGCACCTCCAAAGATGTCGTCGACGTATCTTCCATGAGTGATGGAAGGCAGTGCAAGAGGATACTTCTCTCCGTCGTCTTCTACTAATTGTAGTAGTCTTCTTACTGCTAGGAATGGGGCGGTTCGTGTACCGTATGTGACTGTTGTCACATAATATGGCACTTCGTTGTTTCATTCGTCTATCCATAAGATTCTTTGTAGATCCCAATCATCCTCATGGATCTTGACATACCTATACATTTTTGTTATGTCTGTTGAAAAGAGATATCGATGTTTGCGAATCCAAATCAGCACATCTGAAATTTCAGGATTTAATTTGGCTTCCGTATGCAACAAGTCATTGATAGAATATCCGGAGGTCGATGGACTTGAGCCGTTAAATACCACTCGTAATTTGGTGGTGGAGCTGTCTGGTTTTAATACGCCAAGATGAGGCAGGCAATACTGAGGCCTGTCTTGGGATACTGAAGAAGCTCTGATCATGTAGTTGAGATCGTAATATGTCTTCATGAATTTTTGGTAGGATTGGCGATAGCTTTCATTTTTCGCGAAGCGTCTTATCAAACTTTGCAGGCATTGATGTGCGGTGTTGTAAGAGTGACCAAGGAGTTCGATTGACTTCTTCATTGGGAGTCGGACGATGTATGTACCTGATGAGTCTCGAGAATAAGTTTCTTTGAAACGATCCTCACACCATTGCTCATCAAGGTTAAGTTGATGTTCGATGCTCCTCGGAACTTCTTTTTGCACCCAAAATCTTGTCAGTAATTCTTGTAATATATCCTCTACCTCAATTTCTGAAGTGTGGAATGATACTGTATTCATACCTGTAGTTTCATTAACTGGTCCAAGTACTAACCATCCAAATATGGACAATTGTGCTATTGGCATGGACGGTGCTGCATTAATTATGTTGGGTATGATGACTTGTTCATATGCATCTGCTCTATGGACAATTTCTACAGGTCTGGGTGTAAGATGGTCCGGGTCTGTATATTTCAGACTTTTCAGAAGCGGCCATACTTATCTTGATGTTTTAAACGATGCAAGTATCGTTGTCAATGATTTGAGTATATGGGCGAGCACTGTAACTGAAAAATTAGAATGAAGTGACTGAAGGGTGAATGATACAGAACCTTTAGCCTGTGTTGCGATGAGTCCTCCAATTCCACGAATGGCAATGAGAGACCGTTGACGTAGTAAATTGAGCTTCCTTGCAAGAGTTTCAGTGGCGAACGTAACTTCCGAGCCATTGTCAATTAGAAGACGTGCTTCTATTGTAGCCGACGCTGAGTTAATTCTAGCCATGGCAGTGGCGAACAGGGTAGGTAACCTTGATGGTGTTGAAGGGTTGATGTCTGCACCTTCTCGTCAGGTCGTGGCGTTATTGGTGCTGATTATAGTAGGCGGTGAGCTATTGGGTTGTGGTTTACTGTCTTCGTGTAATAATGTGTGGTGTCGTATACACTTTTTATAATTGTTGCTGCCCTTGCACCGATACCTTGGATAATAGTGCAGGCAGTTGATACATATGTTCTTCTTTGTTACGAAGGCTTTCCGTTCTGTAACCGATAATTCGATGAATTTTTTGCATAGTGGCAACGGTGATCAGCTTGACAACAAATACATGTTATGGTGTGGTCTGAAGCCTTTGGCGGGGTAGACTCTCAGCCTGTATGGTAGACTGATGGCTCGTACTGGCTTCCTCTTGGTGGTTTTTAAATTCTGTGGTTGACTACTAATTGTTGATAGCCTGCTGTGTTCCAAGGCTCGTATTCTGGCATTTAAGAAGGAGTTGAATTGTTCGAATGTGGGATACTTGGATGTTGGATGTATCGCCTATCGAACTCTCCTATTGGTCCCTTGTGTATTGAGTAAATCTCTGAACAGTGTTGTATACCATCATACAATCCCATGGATCAGTCAGATTTGGAGCTGTCGCATTTTCTTTAGCATGTCGCTATATTTACCGCGAGCATCTTCCAGGTTCCGTGCATCATCCTTCAATGGGCGAAGGGCGGAACAGAATTCACTGACATGAGATTGCATTAGTCTGCGAGGATCCTCAAACTTTTATGACAGGGCCTACCACGACAGGCAAAACGAATCGTTTTCTAATCGAAAGCGTGATATGGTCTTGGCAGCTATACCTGTCAGTGTTTTTCGTAGATTATACAGTTTTTGTACATCGCTATATTTTTTGTTGTTAGTGACTGTTGAGACAAATAAGTCTCGGAACATGGGTTATTCTAAGTAGTCGCCTGCGAATTTTGAAATGGGGATATCTGAAAAACAGCTCATATCCATTTTTGTCTTTATTCCAAGTGACCTTCCGCACTGTATTGATTCCTTTGTTTCCTTCAGCTTGGCTATCAACTTGCTGAATTTGAAACTTACATCCACATACAGATTGAACTCTTCTCGTTGGATGTTATTTATGAAATAGTCATGTGAATCCAATGCTGTCAACCATGTTGACTCAATAAAGATTTGTTTCTTAATAAATGTTTTGGGTAGCTCATCTAATATTCCCTTAAGACCCACTGCTTCCTCTAATGTTGTGTTGGAAGGAGTTGCAGGGATACGTCGTTCTAAATCCTTTAGTCAACTTATTCGAAGGCGTTGAGCTCTGATCTTAGCGTTGAGCTCTGACGGATGTTTGTCTTTCATACTACTGCGAGTTACAAGAGTTTCTTTATCTTAAATAATAGATATGTTAACATTCGCTTCCTTGGGTTGACTTTTGTCTTGTTGTGACATTTTTCTGGAATAATATAACGTTAGAAAATGAAAAATTGTTGTTGAGTATTCACTTGTTCTGAAGATTCAAGAGTATTCTTTGATATTTTATAGTAATTATGAAGTCTTCCTTATAAAAGTTCTTTTTGTGTAAATACTTATTAATATAATAACTTCCAGTTCAGGCTTGTTTATCAAGGTCGGTTCGAAGGATACATTTTGTACAGGAATATATATTTATCGATCACTGTTCGAAAGTTGTAGTGATGTAATTCTTGGCTCGAACTACCAATGCTTCAATAGCTTAGTTTGCCGCCCGCCCTAGCAGACGCTTGGGAAGGAGTGAGATATAGGGGCTGTACAAGAGACGTGAGAGTTAGTTAATTATATTTATTGTACAATTTATTACACAATTTACAAATGGATGTTGTAGAATCTTCTTAAATCTTATATGAAGGTATGATTTCTTGATTGGCTTCTTATATAGGAGGTGCCACTACACAAGATGCCTTGAAATTGTTAAATTGATGAAAATTGCACAGATTGATGATTACTGCACACTTTTGGTTGTAGAGTGTGAGATAATCTTGTTGGTTGTCTTATGCCGGCTCTGCCGCCGACTAACAATAATTGAATAGATAAAATATATTAACGTACTTACAGCGATGTCGTAGTTTAATATCTGATTCAGCGGTGAGTTGGACACAATTGCACGCAGCAAAGCGACTGCGTGCGGCGTGACTCTTATACTCACAAGGATGCACTATTCTTGACCTGATCTTGCGGTGAGAGGGACACAAGTCATGTGCGGCGTGACTCCTTTACTCACCAGCATGAACTATTATTAATCTGAATTACTAGCACTTATTTCTGCGTTGAGTGAATTTTAGACTTAGTTTCCTTGGACAATGAATTTCTATTACTTAACTTTTCCCTAGACTGCTCACTGGTCTTTTTTGACTTGTCTTTTCGGACAAAAGTACTTGGCTGTCTACAGCCCTTGGCTGCCCACGCTGACTGCGTGTTCTTGGTGTCCCCCGCGGACTGCGTATTCCAATAATCCCCCGCGAACAGCGACTTTTTGCTGTCTTGTTACCATCTTTAAGATCTCTCGCCATGAGTCCCCACTCAAAGAGCTTCTGGTCTTAGTTTTGGAATCAGGGCGCGCCACTTTTCGGTGGCATGATGAATGTGCACACCCTTTTCCACTTCATAAGAAATTATGCTTAGACAATGAGAATATCGAAGGAGTATCTTTGGCGGCAATGCGTGAAGTGGAAGATTTGCCCCTCTCCGGGACTCATCGTGGTGGGGGTGATTTTTGGTCAAACGTCTTCGCTTGGCCTATGCAAGCAACAACTTTTGTCGTACTTGACAACAATGCATGCGTATGCCCTTGTGGCATTGAAGGCACACATGCGACGCAAATGTCGAGAGCCGCGCATGCCGAGTTTCGAGTTGCAACGGATTTTAAGAAATGTTTTTCAATCAACTGTTTTGAAATATTTTAATCCTCAAAATATACTCTTGTAAACAAGCTAGTCGGGTTTTGATGGTAAGTCGCAAGGGTCTTCATTGCATTCAAAACAATGACTACGTCTTTAATATGAAAGGCAATAAATGGCTGTTTACGAGTTCACAGATGTACAAACCTTTTCGAGTCTCATGCAACCTTCCCTTTTTATCAGCTATTGAAGGTTTTTCTAGTAAATATAATTCGAGAGATTTTCCTTTCACTCTCGAACAATCACATATTGGTCGAAATACTGCATAGTAAGAGAATAACTTAATGCACAACAAAACAAATTAATTTTCACTATTATTTTCATAATTAATTTTATCAATAAAAATCAATTTATAAGATGTATAACAAGTAAAATGTTTTAAATTTACAAAAAATAACGTGATATGCTTAATTTCTGTATTTGTAATATTACTTACGGTATTGATCAGAATAGCATCTCTTAAACTGGCTTCAAGTCGCAAAGTTGCTGCACAGTGAAACAAAATATTTACTTCAGTCTTTAAAATCATTTCATGTTCTTTACTAAGTCCTAAATTATGTAAAGACAAATCACCAAATAGAGGTACAAGTTTTTTCAAAGTCTCTGGCTTAACTTGCTTTATCCGATTAAATATCTAAAGAGAATATTTTATTATATATTACCTGTATAAATAAACTATTAAACTATTAATATGAAAAAATCAAATATTAAATATTATAATATACCTTTAGTTTAATACAAATTTTTAATTGAAAAGCCAATTTTGTTTCTGAATTTTTAATATTCTTTTCTGTTTAGTATTTACATTATTTGATTGCTATAATTTAAACAATTTTATATATTTTTTTATTTTATTATTGATTTGAATTATGAAACTTTCTTTAACTTTATTAAATCTATTGTATTAAATAAGAGGTTTGTATGTTTTATTAATCTTATTACAATATATTTGTAGTGATTATATAAATATTAAGTAATATGGTATGAAATCAAATAGAGAAAGAAATTTATCCTAAAATTTCTAATAATTAATAACAATACAATAATAGTGCAAATATTTACTATTCAATGTTATAATTTCGAACGAGCAATAAAGATAAGTATTAATTTGTTTACAAATTGTCCATCAGTAGTTTTGGCTATATAGCGAGATAGCGTGTTCAGAGTTCTATAAATTTAACAGTGTAAAGTTCAAATCCATAAGAAAAAGGTTAGCACCAGAGTTCACAACATAACTGAAATAAAATCCCGATTCTAGAGTCAGAATCAAGCTTTTAAAAACCCATGGAAAGGGTGACATAGCTTTTACGGCCGATAATCATCTTGTAATTTGCATGATCTGAATGCATATGTATTTGATACGTCCTTCAGTGAAAAATCCTAGTATTATTTTTGAAAATTTCGACGGATTATGAAACAAGTATTTGAACTCTCAAACCTTTATGAACACATTAAACAAAATCTAAATTTATTAAAATCCATCTAATGGTGTAACAATAATAATGGTATATAATAGTAATAGAAATAATGATTAAAAACCATAATGTTTTGAAAAATATTATTAAAGTTTTGTATGTAACATTATAGAATTTTATTTAATTATAGTAATGTAATAATACTGAAATTTTTTATCTTTTTATGTTATTTTTTACATATTGTATTAAAAAAATATTTGTTTCTTTCTGTTGGAGTTCTGTAGTAATTTTGCATTATATATATGATCAGAGTTTATAATAAACTTATATTTAATATTCAAATTCTTACAGGTAATTTAAGCATATCATTAATTCGTATTTCAGCAGATTTATTATGTTTTGATCGCATAAGAATATAAATTCTTTTAAGATTGCTGCAACTGTATAATAATTTTTCAATTAAAACTTTTCCCATAAAACCAGATCCACCAGTAATTAAAATAGTTTTTTCTTTGTAAAAAAGTTGAATGGGACTAAGCTGTTCCATTTCTGAAAAGAAATTATTTGTATAATTATTATCAATATTTGTATACATATAATTGTAATTAAATTTTTAAGATATATTTAATAAAAATTCATTTATAATGAAACATATATGGTTAATAGAAAATATGATTTCATATACAGCTATCTAATGAAAATGTTAAAACATATATTTTATCTAACATTTACGATATCTAGATCCCAAATATAGAGTTTATTCATAGCATAATTGCTAAAAACAATCGAAAGAAAACACTTTTCTGAATATTAATTTTCTCTTAAGTTTAAAACTTCGATAAAATAGCCAAATAATTTGGTTATTTATAATATTATTAAAATAATATAATTAAAACTGATTCAAATCTTATAATTTGATATTATCTATATTAAAACTCCGATATTTTATAAACAGATTTAAAAATTAGCATTTGATATGTAATATAATTATATATGCATACATATACATATATACATATTTAATGGTAATGTTTAAAAACTCAAATATGAATATAGTCCTTTAAAATTAATTAAAATATTTATTAAAAAATAGAATAATAAATAATTAATTATTCAAATTTGTAATTTATGTGTTTCTATAATTTTAATATGCTTATATTTTTAATTTATATAAACTATTCTTTATTAAAATATATTTCATAAATTATATCACCAATTTTATATTTACTAAATTAATAGTAAATTAATTTTAAATTAATTCATTTAAAATGTTCCCTGTGTAATTAAAATTTTAATAAATGAAATATGTATTACTAACCGAAATTTCGTTGTTTTGAATGATGTTATAAATGTAACTTAAACGAAAAAATTTATAATTATTAGTACTTCTATAACCATATGTTCATTTACTTTCTTAGCTACTGTACAAACTACAATTACAACGATTTCCCGATCCCACTTCGGTAAGTTTCAGTATGTACAGGAAATCAAGTTTTTACTTTTACTTTAATTCTTTGAATTTGTACGTAACTCAATACTGGTTAATATTATGTATAATAATAAATAAACTACTGTATTTCACAACTAATTCATAAAGCCGAGAAATTTGTTATTTTTAATAATATATCATTATTTTAAAATTAAATAATTGGCAAGTTTCAATTGAATAAAATTATGACTGTAAGTAATTTAAAACCTGATTATTAAAAAAATATATATAATGCAAAAATGCATAAAATTAAAAGCCATCTATTTTAATGAATTAACATATAAATATTACAACAATTAATATCATCTTTTTACTATAATGCATATATTAAAATCAAATTCTACATTAATTTATATTATATAATACATTATATATTTTGGACAATTGTAAATATATTGTTGTATATATAATAGTAAGTTAATATCAATATATATATATTTAATATATGATAATTAAATTATATACTTTCAACACAAAATGAAAAAATCAATTATAATCCGATTGGACTAAAAGAGGTACTTTAAATCTATGATTGAAATAATATTTAATTATCGGTTTTTTGAGAAAACTTGAATACATTTTACTTGTTCTAATATGCAATATAAAACATCTGCTAAGAATGAGAGAGATAACAAGAGCTTTAATATAACAATTTTGGTGGTAAACAAAGGAATAGTGGAAGGAATTGTAAACAAAATATTTGCAAGTTAATATCAATATTAGTAGTACAAGAATAAATTATAACTGATGGTAAATTAATAAATGAAATTTTGAATACTTTTCTAAGATCTACATAAGAAACTAATGTAGAGTTGACTATATTGCTAAAATATTATATATATTGAATATAAAAGGTATAAAAGATAAACAATGCAAGTATTATATAAATGTAAATGTATTATGTATAAATGAAATTTAGAATGTAATCATATGTAATATCATTGACTAAATGGTTAACTTGATATCTACATTTATTTCTTAGATGTTTTGAATTCCATTCCAATAATATTTTTATTTATTTGGTAGATTGTAAAATAATACTAAAAATGTAATATTAGCTTTAACTTATACAATATTTATCATTTTAATAAATTCATATTTAATTTCGTATATATTATTATTAATAATAATTACATAATTTATTCTACTGTTAATTTAATAATTGTTTAACTAATTATTCAATAATGTTAGAAATTTTATTAATATGCTTACTTGAAGGAATTATTAAATTTAATATATTGTTTGCATTAAAATATTAATTATTTATTACATTTTAATATACTTAATTATAATATTTGTAGACGCAAATATAATTAAAATTATTAATGTATGTGTAATAGTATATAATGAAATATCCATACGGGGTCAATATAAGGCACATAGATTCGATCTAATAGCAATATTGACACTCCTGCGTGTTTTATACTGTCGTAACACGTGTGTCTGAATTATGCTGGCTTCTAAATTATTTTTGTTTACATATTAGTTTTTACTTTTTTTCCTTTAGTTTTAATTTAAGATCTCATCTAATCTCAATAGATAGTGAATCGTCAAAAAACGTAAGATTTCATTTTAATTAATCAACAAAAAGTTTTTTATTATTTACTTTTTTTTTTGTAAATAAATGAAATTATTTATATTATTCGTTTCATTTTCATTTATAAAAACAAATATTTTCTATTAGTTATAATAAATTAAACATTCTTACTTTGATGATAAATTTATTTTTTTTTTTTAATTTTCATTCATTTTTTAAATACTTTTACATAAACACTGTAAATGATTTACCATGGTTAATAACTAGGTTGGATTTTTAATATAATAATAATTTAATACTGTCATAATATATATTAATATTAATTAATTTTGATTACTAAATATTTATTTTCTATTATTTATAAAAGAAATATAATTAATTGTTTTAAGAGAATTGTTTTAATTTATTGAATAAAGAAATTAAACGATAGGATAATATGTCTTGAGTATGTGTTAACAATTATCAACAATGTTATTTTCTGAATTGTTATTGATATATCTTCAGTTTAAATATGTGACTTCAGATCTAGTATCTAACATTATTTGTTCCTGATTTTGTATTTTAATTAACCGAAATTAATAGTAAAGTTCAATTTTTATTCATAATACTTGTTACATAGTGTTCGTTATAAAATTTTTTTTAATAGTTTTTCATTCTATACGATTATACTGTTTCATTTTATAACCTTCAGTCTTTGATAATTCTATATAAAATAAAAGTTCAATTTTTTCTTTAGTTCAGTAAATTCATATTTACATATTTGATAATTTAATATATTATATTTCCAACTTTTAAATAATTTTTGTAATTTTTTCAAACTAAATAATCAATTTTTTTTCAAATTTCCAAATTGTAACGGTTTGAATGTAAATTTATGTTTCAAAGCTTGGACTTGTAAGTATACTATATAAGTATACTATACTTATTTACATCATTATAAAAAATATAATCTTCAATTCTTCTATAGTTCAGGAGAACACACATTCTCGTATAAAAATCGCATTGATTAGATATTAATTGCGTTGTTTATAGATTTGTTATAAAGATTTTTTTAATTAATATAGTGTTTTTATTTACGCGATTAACGTTATTTATATTTTATATTCTTATAAAATTTCTGATCTTAAAATGTTCTCTTACGAAAGATTTTAAATTATTATCAAATTTACCATTATTTTTAATTCTTTTTGTTTCAATTATCTTGATGTTTTCGCTAATTTCTTCATACATCTAACTCACATGATAATACTTATAATATTATCTTTCTTTGTTTTCACTATTCCTTTCTACAACAAACATTACTAGATGAGATTTATTCTATATAAGTTTAAAATATGCTTTTTATTAACAAAATAAGTAAGGATAATTATAAAAAGCCAATAATATAATTAAACATGATGTTATTTATTTTTGAATAATTATGCCTCATTCGGATTTCTTATAATTATGCGATAAACAGTTCTAAAAAGCAGTTTTCTCCAGAAACCATTTCCGTTTCTCATATTTATTACATTATACCTAATATATTATAATATATACAACAAAATATAATCAGCATTTATATTTTTTTTATCCGTACTGAATATCAATTAATTTTGAGAATTTAAAAGAAGTGAAAAGCAAAATTACGAAAGGGGAAAATAAAACGTCCTATTAAATAAAATAACATTGCTAAAAGTAGAGAATTGAAATGAAGAGAATTGAATATTCTTCATTGGTTGTCATTATATTGATACTCAAATGTGCATAAGTAAATTAATAGAAAACTCTATACACTATCATAATTTATGGATACATTTATTATCATATAACTAAAAATATTTTTCAAAGAAAATTGTTTATTTTTTAAATTTTCATTCATAATAATAATATCAAATTTATATTACATGATAACAATAATATACAATTACTTTTCTATAAAATAGATTAACTGCAATAAATATTATATTATATAAAAGAAAAAAATATTTGGATAAATATCAATTTATATTATATCATTTAGACGGGAATTATTTAAAATCTAGTATTTGTTTATAATAATATTAATATAGTCTATTATATAATACCGTAAAAATGTTATATTCTATTCACTTGGAACATTTTATCTGTATTTTATAATATATAAAATGTTACTTCTTATCCATTCCAATTAATGATACAATACAAAAAATAGACTTTACACTTCATTTAAAGTATGTGCATTCAATGATATTTAAATTATTTGCTTAATATAAAAACCAAACTATATATATATAATTACACTACTATGGATTAAATATGTTATTTATACAAATAAATATCAAACATTATATTACATGTTTAGGAATTATTTTTTATTCTTTAATTGTTCTTATATTTGATAAATGTAAATTTATTTAATGAAAAATAAAAAAATTTAGAAATTCTTAAAACTATAAAATATATTCGATTTTATTTAATTTTTAGTTAATATAATAATAGGTTTAAATCAATATTTAAGAAACTATTAATTAAAATATAAAACTTAAACAATAAATAAATTATTGTTATTAATAAATTAGAAATATTTTTTACGTACTTTCCCGCCATTATTGATATTTAGTGGAATATTCTACAAAACTTGGTAATGCAATTGTGCACACTGTAAGGGCCAATAAACATAGACTTCAATTATGTAATCTTATACGTATGCATTTTTACTTTTTCTTGTTTGATAAACCGTTGTCGAATAAATCGTTGACTTTTTGTTACTTTATGATAATTTGGTTTCATTATCTCCTATTGAGAAATACATAAACAACGTTAATGCGTTACAGTAAGAAAATTAAAAATAAAAAAAACATTCAAATTCAAATTAATATATGAATTGAAAATAACTATTTACTGGATATATATTATTTAAAAACAATTTTTGATTATATAGTTTGTAATAATTTATAATCTGTCAATTATAAATTTGTATTTTTAACAAATTATTGTAATTATGTCATCATTACCTACACCATTGCAGGTAAGAATTTATTATTTTAACTATGTATACATATTTACTAGTATTAAAAAACATCAATGTAAAACAAAATTAAAATGTTAGTATTTATTAGTAATTATTAATTTAAAAAACAATTTTATGTGATTATTAATTAAATAATTGATACTAGACTGCTCTGCAATATAAATATAATTATTAAATTATAAATATTTTATAACGTGACATTTTAATGTATTAAGAAAACTTTTTACTTCAATTGTTTGAAATTATTAAAAGGTCAAAATGAGATGTGTATGTATATTAAGACTTAATATGATTTTGTTATATAAAATAATTACAAATTTTCTACTAATATTAGTTCTAATTTTTAATTATGTAGATATATAATATGAATAATTATTTTATTATTGTACACTATACAGTGCTATATTGTATAAATTTTATAACCTATTTTATTTATCATAATTATATTTAAACATATTTTTAATTTTTTATTATTTTAATTACTTTTTATTTAATAATTTTGAGTTAATATATTTATAAATAAAATCAAATTATATATATATATATATATATATATATATATTTATATATACATAATAAATATTTTCTAGTGATTCAAATATTAAAGTATTTGTTTGATTTATTAACATCATAATTAATTTTAAATATAAAATTTTTAAAATTATTATTTCAATAATATCATTTGCTGCTATCTCTCACTATTTTAATTTATTCTCTTGATAATTAAAATAATTTACTTATTTTAATTTAATTGTCATGTTTATATTATTAATATATAATGCATTAAACAAATTTTATTTCACATTTTTCCATCAACCTTTGTGGTATAATATATATTAAAATTTATATAAAACTTATGGATTATTGATACAATACAAATAGATAAGACCAGGTTCAATAACAAATTTAAAGGAACAAAAAAACAAGAGAAACAAAGTAATAGGACAGATCGAGTAAGCTTTAACAAACATATATATGTGTTAGAAATTTATTTTTTATAAGTTATCAAAATCTAATTATATTAATAACAGAAAGTTACAATATTAATTTTTAAATTTTCTTTTACAGGTAGCTGGTTCTTATATTTCGATATATGAAACTTATTATAATTTGGTAAGCAAATATTTGTTTTGATAATTCGTATGGTAATAATTATATTTTTAATACAATAGAATTTAATAGATTATTTTTAAGAAAATATCAATATTTAAAAAAAAAGTGATATTATTTAATTGATATTATTTAGTGATAGTGATATTGATATTATTTAAAAAAGTACAAAAAATGCATTGGTATATAGTTTTAAACTCATTGTTATTATTTCATCCATTTCACAATGAAATTAAAATGTCAAAATTATTTTGAATATTCTATGTAGATATATAATCTACATACAAGTGGTTATTCACTAATTTTTATACGATTTATTTGGTAATGTAATGGGCCGTCTTATTACTGTTTACTTATTTTAATGCTAATAATTCCAAGTTATGAAATAGTTTACCTTTTACAGATAGCTTATTCCTACTTATGATGTATGTCTATAGTCCATTGTAGAATGTAAAGTAATTATAAGTAAATGTATATCTTAAGTAATAATTGATAATATAAAATGTTAAAATTACAAAAATGATTGATAATTGTTATGGATCTGCCCATCTTCATAAGAAATGTGTAATTATAATTTTGTATGTTAATTTATTTTAAAGTATGAATAATCAATTTCATGTTAAAGAATCTTATAAAACATTTGAATTAAGAAAAAGATAAAAAGTATAACTGCTCCTGATGATTTCATAGATAGCCTTATCGGATATATTTTTTGACAGGTTAATTTTACTCTTTCATTCCAGCATTTACTTCGTAATTACATTCAAACATTCAAACATTATAACTTTATAATCTTTTTTTTATATTTATAGAGGAATTTTACAAAAAATGCAGAAGTCTTTTGTAAATATCTCAATATTCATTAGAAATTCTTAATAAATTATTCAATTTATATTTAAATTTTAATTTAGAATAAATTAAATTTACATGATACATTGTGTTAATTTTGACATAAATCACAATAAAACAAACTATTCTGTTTCAAGCCAAAGTATTAATTGGTACAGATATGGATATATCAATAGTTAATCAAGATTTGTCTTTGGGTAAACAAGCAGTTTGATACAAATAATGGATGTTTCTCACAAAGACGAATAAGATTATCAAATTCTAATGAAAGTGAGCTGAGATTTCTTGCACCAACAAAAATGAAATTTTTGAAACATTGTTCCAATCTTTAATAATCTATTATTATGATAAATAAAAGAAGATTGTAAATTTTTATAAGAACAAAATTATATGGAAATTTACAATAAGAGCTCCATTTGGGATCCTCTATGTAAAAGTAATAACGCATGTGTAAATTACCTTTTAGTTATTAAATTTTTAAAGACAATTGAAAATATTGATAATTTTATAATTTTATAATACTTGTAAATTATTTTGTATATTTATCATTATAAATTAATTCTAGACTAATTTTTTGTGCATAATAGTCATTAATAGATGCTTTTATTCTATTCAAAGAATAATTAAGGACGAATTTCTTGAAATAAAATCAAGTTTTTAAATTGTTATGAACTGTAGAATCCAACAAATAATAAAAATTTTCAATTATTAATATTTAATGAATCATATATGAATTATTAATTTAGAAAGACAATACATTATATAAATAATTATTTTTATTTTGTATATTATTGAGATCTATAAATCGTAATTTATTCCTAGTCTTGAGTAGCAATTTTAACTAATAATGTTTATTGTCACATTTTTTAATGGATGTATAATATTTTCATTCATCAAATTTTCATTCAATAAATCAGTGGTAATAGATAAATTTAATAATATATTTTTTAGCTTTAATAATTTTAATTATTTATGATGTATATCAATTGCATTCTGAAAAATAGTGTTTACAATATAACATTATATTAACGATTATAATTTTTTTTTCTATTTTGCACATTTAATAATGTGATCTGTATGTTGCGTTATATAAATTTATTTAAACATATAGGGCACATTATAATTGTAATCTTTTTTAATATTCGGTTTTATCTAACTTTGTTACATTAGTAATAATGAATGTTATATAGAAAATATTTTGTATATAAAAAAATGTATTAATAAAGTAGTGTTTATTAAATAGATAAGAATTTATATATCGTTTTAATTTACATATATATTTATATGAAAAATTGTAAATAATTTGTAGGTTGATCCAAGCAAACATGGAAAAATTGGAGCAATGGATGCTGCAAAGTTTTTGAAAAAATCGTATTTAAGTGATGTAATACTTAGTAAAATATGGGACATTGCTGATCCAAATTCTCGTGGTTTTTTAGATAAAGCAGGGATGTTTGTAGCTTTAAAATTGTGTGCTTTAGCTCAGCAAGGTTATAAGCTGAATATTGGTAATATTTACTTAGATGTTTTGCCACCACAAATGGTACGAATTTACTTATATATATGCATGCGTGTAGAAAGAATTGACATTTGTATTTGCATTTTTTTATTTTTATTATAGTTCTTATAACGCACTTAATATTTTTATTAAACTCAGAAATTGAATTATATTGTATTGTATCGAAAAAAAATTGAATATATGTATTTATAAAAAGGATCGACGAAATTAGAAATTAAAATATTAGATGTAAAAGTATTGTTCATGAATATTGTTTTTGTGTAATAATTTAAAGTGGATATAAACTACTTATTGTTATTTGGTTAAAATGTATTTAGAAATTTTGGAATGAGGGTGATTATAAAAACTGGTTGGCTTGCTTCTAAAAGTCTTGTTATTTATATTAAAACTTATAAAATATCCTCGAATGTTTATTTGAAAAAGGGTAATTTAATATTGTTTATCGTTGGTGAAAGCTAGAGAAAATAAAGTGTTATGCATGACTGATGATAAACTTCAGCTTTAATTTTTCTTTATTCGTTTTCAGTTTAACTTTTATATTTATATAAATATCTATTGAAAAAATAATTTTTTGTATGAATGTTTTAATAAATAATAGCTATCATGTACCTAAATTTAGGGAGAGTCGATTCATACCAAACTTACTACTTACTCTCAATCTACACTTTCATCAAGTAATAACTATTGGTTAATCAGTGCATCAGAACGTATAAAATATGAGCAATTGTTTCAAAGTCTTGAACCAGTCAATGGATTAATACCAGGAAATAGGGTCAAAGGTGTGCTAATGGATAGTAATTTGCCATTTGAAACTCTTGGAAAAATTTGGGACTTAGCTGATATCGATAAAGATGGAAAATTGAATCAACATGAATTCACTATTGTAAGTAGTATTTTATAAATACATTAGTATGAAACTCTTCTAACTGATCCTTTTATTTAATTTTTTTTATTTGAAACTTCCAAGAATGACAGATTTATACCAAATATATTTTATTTACATTTAAGTATATAACTAAGAATAAGTATTGTACTTATTTTTTTTATCTATTTACTTCATTTTCGTATTAAAAATTATTAGAGAACAATTAAAATGAAAGTTATGAAAATTTATTTAAAATTTTAATAACTATTTAAATAAATGAAATTAAATAAATAAACTCCTTCATAATTAATTTAATACCTTTGTTATGTACAAAAACAACAGCTTTGTTTCGTCTAAAATCGATTAAAGTAAAAAATTTACATACAATATTTATATTATTCGCTAATTATTCGCCACTGAAATAAAAGTAATTTACATATTCATGGTTGAAGTAATTATGTATGCATGTATCTATAATTTATTACTTGTTTAACTGATTTAATTTGTAAATATGTTGAACGTAATGAACCATGACGAATACAATAGGAATACGTTCAGTTCATTGTGATTGTCTGAATATCTTGGCTTTTAAGTAAATGTACAGTTTATACTTAAACATTTATATTATTTGTTTTTTAGGCAATGCATTTAGTATATAAAGCACTGGAGAAAAAGACCGTACCAAACACATTACCCATTGAGCTATTAAATAGTAGTGATGTAAATGTATTAGATATAAATTCTAAAGAACAGTTCTATATTGCACCCATATTAGAAATTCCATCTTCAAATATACAGTCTTCTATGCAGAATAAAAGTAATAGTGAGGTAAAATTATAAATTTTATATTTAATAGGTAATTGAGCTTTTGTTCATTTATATAGCATAAATTAAAATTTAATAAAATTTTAATTATTGCTATTATATATGATATTGATAACGTCAACAAAAATAATCGAGATAATATGACTATTAATTAATAGTATGTTTGCATTATTAATTGTCTTCAAAATGGCATCGAAAAAGCTGACTTCCCCCGTTGTCTAATCTATTTTTATTGTAGTTCTCACAATTATATTTAAAAAAATACATAAATTATACAAATTATAAACAAAATTTCGTAGAATACCGTCCTCCACTTCATGCGTGTCAGAATGTTGTATTGCTTATGAAAACAGCTAACAATATTCGGTAACTAGACAATCATAGATACTTCAAATCTAAAATGGTGTTAAAATAGTGAAGAAAATTGTTTCTCATTCTAGCGATTTAACCTAATTATGTGAAGACAATTATAACATGAATAATTCTCAGCTAAATGAATTTGCAGATTCAACGGTACATTATATCAATAGAAACCATCTAACATAAAATACAAAGTAGTAAATCTATTTTCGAATATAAAACAAAAAATGACAGAAGTTGTTTTAAATTGGAAGGGATAACTTAATAATAATTAAAGTATAAACAAAATAATAAAATAGTTTGGTATTTAAATGGTAATAAAGCTGATATCTATGATAAACAGGCTCGCCAACTACAAGGTTGACGTGTAGACTAACACCTACATTTTATAAAAATATTGATTTCATTTTTATTTTAATATATTAAACTGAAAAAATTAAATAATGAAAAAATGAAAGCCATAACAATTTCAATATTGTGAATAATAATTTTCAATCACGTTTATAAATAACAGACGTAAATTAAAAACAACTACAATTGGGTCCATGTTTTAATTTATAAATACTTATATAGAGGGGTTTAAGATCATATTAAGTTCATGATTATGCGCCTTTACTGAGTAATTCAATACGTCAAAAAGCTGTTTATAAACACTGTTGTATAAGAAATGAATATTTCCTTGTGTAATATATAGAAAGTAGTATAATAAATTACTTCTTTATTTATTAAAATTTTTATAATTATGAATTTATTCATTTAGTATTTATATATGAATAGTATTAATAGTATTTTTCAATCTTATAATTATAATTTTTCTGCTTTAACATTTGCGTGTATTTTTCTACTTAACTGTCTACTTTAATGATATTTGTTGCACAAAACTTAAGAAACCTTCAAATCTTACTAATCGAGAAAGTTTCTCAGAGTTGTCTGCAATATACTGTCTTCATATAAAGATATAAAACATATAAAACAATACTTTTTTATAACAATGAATTTTTTCCTTTATATTTTTTCTTTGAATTATTTATACGTACAGAAAACTTCTAATTTTCTGAATTCATTTATACTTTATAAAAAATGTGCATACATTTTTCTGTTTATTTATAGTTTGCAGTATGTTTTAAAATGCAGTAAATATGAACTGATAAACAAATTTAAATTTATTTTTTTCTTAAACATACTACAAAAAAATATCTTTCGTTCTAATATGACCAATATAATTAATAATATCTTGTTACATAATTTTTAACATTTGCTCAGTTTTACATATTTATTATAAATTTTTATTGCGAAATTCGGATTTATTTACGAATACATTTGTAACTAAAAATTTAATTACATGCATTAGCTCTTATTTTGAAAAACATTTATAGAATTTGATATTCGTTTTTTATTTAAAATTATATAACTAAATCTAAAAGAAACAAAATTGTGAAATATTAATTGGTTAATAAAAATGATAATGTGCTACAATATTATTAAAAAAATATTTTATTATATTAATAAAAACAAAGGATTATTCATATATTATTAATTATTTGTAATACATTTAATAATAATTGTTACGGATTACAGCAGTTTTAAGCGGTATATAAAGTGGGAGAGGTAAAGACACCTGTGCGTAGTTAGAAACAACTAACAAGGCTAGACTCTAGTGACGTCACTCTAACAATCGGCATGGCAAGAGTGATCCGGTAACCACCGGATTCCCAAGCTTGTACTAGGATATTTAAGGAGCCGCGCTTGACGCTCTCGCACTCTTACTAGTTCATTCAAGCACTCATCACGACAGGATCGCCATTCTAGAGATCGGCTTCAGCCCGCGCGTAAGCTACGTCATTACACTCGTTCTTACGTCTTACTAATACTACAGAGATCGGCTTCAGCCCGCACGTAAGCTACGTCATCACACGTTTTTACGTCTTACTAATACAACGGTTCCTGTCAACTACGTAAGCAGCAACACACTACGAACGCACACCAATACCATCGCTACATCTAATCTCACGTACACATACGTTGCAGCGCATCACGAGCGTCAATCACCACTATAGGTATAAGAGCGGTCCTCGCGTTCACTTAAGCACCGCACACTATCTATACCTCGTTACACCGATACGAGTGAATCTCCCACTCCGTCACGCAGTGACATCACACGGACATCTTCCCACCACCCGACTACTACAGCGCTCACCCTACGCCAGCGGCTAAGGCGGCCCCAACTCGCTGCCCCTACCAGCACGAGTCTCCCACTACTACTACTAAACTCATAAGGAGAAGGAGAGTCAAGCTCCAGGCTATCAAGAATATACTTACAGCATTATCGCCATTAATATTAATTTAAGAAACTCCCATCTATTCATTATCATATACATTCAATTCGATATCCATAGATAATTGACTATTTATTATATTTATTATATTCAGTAAAGGAAAGGACAATAAACAATGCAATAATTATTGCATTGCCCCTTCCACTTCCCAGGAAGCCTCCACCCACCATCAGAAGAGGCTTTTAGTCTGATCCCAGACAATAGTAAAAATGAACTTGATGCATTGTAAAATAATATAATGTAGTTAACATTGTTTCAAATATTTGAATAAACTTCATATATTAGTTTCTTTAAAAAATATTAATTACTGCTTGTACGTCAGATTGTTCTATACACAAATATTTTTATATGATACTGTTTAGAATTTGACTATGTCCACCAGTTTAATGGCGGTGGGGGGAAAGTATGGAAAAGTGGAAGTGTTAAGCGCTTCAATTCAGTATTTAAACATCTGCTTTTTGTGCGGTTTATTGTGTTTTATTTTACAACTACACTGTAATGATTCTACGTTGACGATGAAAATCGGTGAAATCTTGCTGTTTCTTGGTTGTTGCCACGTGGTGTCAGCATGCACTACATGTAGAGGTAGGATGTCGTTGGTCTCCGGATCCTCTTGATGCAGTACGCTTGGTATTAAAGTACTACACTGAAAGTGAGAGGTTTTTAATTTCTGGAGACTAGTTCATGCTGTGCCACGTAATGGTAACTTGATTGCTGGTTTCATCGTTGATATCATGAGGCGTGGAAGTGTGAAGAATTAATCCGATACCTTGATGTGGCGTTGGCTGTGGTTTGCTTGCACTGATTCGTGAAAGCAAACACTTGCTGATATCTTCTTACAACCGCTTTGTGCGCTCTGGCACTATGCGTGAGGTTCTTTACGTAGAGTGTACATTGGCTTTGTTCGTGAGATTCCTTGCTGAAGTCAGAAAGATTACGCGAGTAGCTCCTGAGTGACTACAATGGATGCGATTATGCAGTTGTTTTTTCGGATGTGAGGACTTTTCCAGATGTCCAACGACTGTTGGAGGATTTCCCAGAAATGGGAATAAAAATTATATAACTGAAAAATTTATATTGAAACATGTAATTATAATAAAAATTTATATATATATATATATATATATATATATGATTATAAATTCATTTAAATTACAGTGGATAGTATCTATAGAAGATCAAAATGCTGCTGATAAATTATTTATACAAGCTGATAAAGACTTAGATGGTTTTGTATCAGGCGCTGAAATTAAAGATATTTTTATGCAAAGTGGATTATCTCAAACTATTCTTGCACGTATTTGGTAATTAACAATGTGTAAAATATCGACACCTGGCGAATTTTCAATTTATTATAAAATTATTTTTAGGAGCCTTTGCGATATCTGTCAAATTGGAAAATTAAATAATGAGCAATTTGCACTATCAATGTTTCTCATAAAACAAAAAATTAATGGCATTGATTTACCAATCGAATTGACTCATGAAATGATTCCTCCGTCACTTAGAAAGAAACACGCAGAATATACCATTGTAAGTAATTAGCATTTGGAAAATAAGTAAAGTAGTAATTGTCTAATTATAATGCTAATTTTAATTTTATTATAAAGTACGAAACTGGTATTTGTTTTTATTTTCTTATTTATTTTTAATTATTTTTTATTTAACAAGATCAATATATAATAATTTAAATAACTATATTTCACATACTTGGCATTTAAAAAAACATTACTTACGGTAGATTATAAAGAAAACGCAACATGAAAAACATGACAAAGACGGTATAATTTAAAAAATTACACAAAAAATCATATATATGTTATAAATATTATAAGATTTTAAATACACGTCTTAAAAGTTAACAAAATATTACAATATTCATATAAATAATACATTTTTATTTGTAAAAACTGTAAATTTGATACTCTTATAGAAATATGTATTGTGGTTTTTAGTTTATAAATATTAATAACATTTTGAAAACGTTTATTTATAATTAATAATAAATCTTTTTTTCTAAATTCATTATGGTGGATTATTCATTCGCTTAATAATAAAATTATTTTTAAGAAATGCACTTGTTTAAAAAATTAATTGAATGCAACGAGAATGTAATAATATATATTAAAAAAATTTATCATATCTTTTAACATACCAATAATTTTATTCATATTTAAAATTAATTATAATTATAATACCTAATAATGAAAGTATTTGAATTGTTAATAAAATTAATTCTTTAATGGACGACCAACTAGTGAGTTCAGTCTTGTAGTCGTCTCCTTTTGATGCATTCCGCTGATCTCGACGTCCACTTAAGGAACGCCGGATTCCTTGGTGTCTTCAATCAGTGCGCCTCTGTCTGCGGCGTGTCTATTCGGAGCATCCTTAGCGGCTGCGTCTTCAATCAGAGAGAGAGTCTACTTGTGGCTATCTCGTAAAGAGAGAGCTCTGATTAAAGAGCCCTTGCTTGCCTTTCCAAGCGGTAGTATGGCTAAACTTGACAACAGTCGATGCAATTGTGTACCGTTAGATTTTAATTTTTGGGTGTAACGACTATTTCCAGATGCATAATGACCAGGGTTTTCCAGAAGCCTAACAACTTGGGTGTGCCAGATGTTTAACGACTTGGAAAGGGTTCTCGCAATTTCGAACACATTTTAATGAACATAACATTTGAAAATCGGATTACTTTTGAATTTAAATGAATGTACACAATTTGCATTCAAAATTTTATCTATAGATATGAAACATTCATTTTCATAAAAAATTTCACGTTTAAATAGAAAATTATTTGAAATATTTATTTAAAATTACTAAGTTCAGAAAATTCAGCAATTCTATTGGTCCTATATTTACCCTTCATTTCTCTCTTCATATGTATCAATAAGATCTTGAATACTCGTTTTTTTTTTCATATTTCATTAAAAATTTTGAATAAATTTGGATTTTTTTCATATTATGTAATATTCATTTTCTCTTTTTAAACCGTATACGTCATATATCTAAATATCTTTCTTTCGTGTCTCATATTCATTTTATTGCAATAAATTATAACGAAATTGCTATATGTGCAAATTCTGTATATTGCAATTTATTTTATCTTTTTTCTTTATGAAAAACGAATTTCTGATACTTTAATTGTTTTTAAGAAACAAACAATCACAGATACATATCTTATATCGAGATTATAATAATATGATTTACATTAAGATATGACGGTAAATTGTTTTTCTGATTTATGAGAGGAGAAAAAGAATTAAATTTACTATTAACGATAAAAAGATAGTCTTTAGTTTGATCATAAACCTGTGAATAAAGATAATAAAAGACTCCTCTTAAAAACATTCAAGTACGGAAGGACTTGATAAAATGGAGTTATAGTCGACTATTTGCTAACTGTTATCTGCCCTTGATAATGTAATTAAACGGATTGGAGAGGTGATGGAACGGTCTTTCAGGCCTGGTCGGCCTGAGAGAGCGTGTTGCTGTCACCTTTCTTTGCAAACTTTATGTGAAACGCGAATCGAGCGTCGATGACTAGCTTGCACAAATAATAATGAGGATGTACCTTATGAACTACAGACAGAGTATGCTGTTTGGCTGGGTGGTTGGCGCATTTTAATGATTACAATTCCAATGGCGTCACTGTTAAATTACTAATTTGTTATTACAGATTCTGTTAATAATGCACGCATATATTGTAGGTCATTGCCAGGCTTGCGGCTAAGTTTCGTAGTCGTAAGTGATAACTGTTATTAGATAGACTGAATGTACACTGATTAATAATAACAGAGTGGTAGAATTATAGTGAGCTATAATTGATGACTGAATAGATAGTAAAAACACCGTGAGCCAGGTGTGTAGCGACTGAGTGGATGTTAAAAGTACAGTGCGCCCCGTACTTGCGCCGCCGGCAGCAGCGCCGATAGCTGTTGCTATGCCGAAAATCGTAGTGACATCAGAGAACAAATCTTTGGAATATTATAGAAGCATCGAAGGACACAGCCTGGGAAGGTTCTAGAAGTTTCATCGGCGTAGCTATGCGGAATTATTGTCGTATATACGAATTTAAGGCGTAAGAAAATTCCCGAATTCGCTGAATCGTGTTTACAAACATGAGCGTCTAGGAACTTCTACTTTTCCCAATTTAAATTCTTGAAAACTGCTCCAAATCCAGAACACAGATCATAGTTGGTTTTACAAACCAATGTGATTCCAAAGTAAAATATTAAAATGAACCAATCAGTAATAGTAAAACTTTAAATTTAAGGTAATTGTTCAGGATTTAACTACCCAACATTAAAAAGTTTATTGTTTATTATAATATGATTGCGATACATTATATCTAGATTAAGGTGTAATATTTGAATTATTCGTTACAAAAATTCTCGATGTAGATTTAAGTCTCGTACTATATCCGCATAGCAATAAAAGAAGATTCTCGAATCTACTAGTTGCTTTCCGAGAATTTACCAAAGCTTCCAAGAATTACAACGCTAAATGTGCGCAATCATATATAAGAAGCACCAGACGACGAAGAAAATTTGTCTTGTTCAGCAAGTCAAATGAAATTAGTGCCAGTCATACCAGTGAAAGTTATACACATCTAAGGGAATCCGTGCAAGGTATACTGATTTGTTTACATTATTTCTTCTATATTGCTGGCCAGCTGTCGGTGTGTCCTCCGCAACATGACGATAGTCAGATCGTATTGAGGGCGACAACATACACTGGCATCTCCAGCAAATTATCGATATCACATACTACATCCTGCGGCTCAGCGCCAACACTGTCGGTCAGGCCCCTGTAACTTGGTTCTTATCAGAACACTGAAGAGGGCGTCGATAATGTTTTAATAGTCCCCACTATTACCAGCCAGAGATCCCGACAAAGCTCTTCGTAAAAACCATCGACCAATTAAACACCCAAAAATTCGCGAGCCGGACAAAGCTCTTCGTAAAATCCATCGTCGAATTAAACGTTCAAGGATTCGCGAGCCAGACATGCTCAGTAAAAACCATCGCCGAATTAAACGGCCATGGATTCACGAGCCGGAGATACTCCTTCAAAAGTAAGGAATAAAACGCGTGCCCAGTACTATTAATGCACCCCTAGCCTTGCACTCCCGGATGACGTTCTATAGCTCATGGTGAACTATCTAATCACGATAAGCTCAACAATTCTCGTTAAGATCGGTAACACCAATTACCACTGTAACATAACCTTAAATAAAAGTCCCGAGAACCAATTGTGTTTACACTAAATTAATGCATTAACCTCTCCCCCTCCCATCTCCATCATCATTAAACCAGTGGTACGATATAATCCACCCACCTTGATCTGCGATCATACTGGTGGCTGGAATTCCAAGAAGTAGTGTAGTCAAATTTGCATTACTTAAAGAATTATATACACCATTTTATGGTTTTTACTGACTATAGTGTAGTATAATAATTTACATTTAGATTTTATAATAAAAGAGTTTTTTAAATTTTCAAATTTTTTTCTAAATTGTGAAGTATCTTAAGTTAATTTTTTTTCTTCTTTTAATATTTATATGATTGATAGATTTCATTACGTTTTACAGGAAAACAATAATATATGTGGTTATTCAAGTTCAGAACTTAATATGATAGGTAAAGATATTAGTGAAATAATTCGCGAAAAACTTGCAATAGAACAAGACATATCTCAAAAAGAAGCAGATATTAAAATTAAAACTGGTGAAATAAAAAGCTTACAAAGTGAACTTGATACTCTTGCTGCGACATTAAAACAACTTGATAATCAAAAGGGTGAAGCAAAAAAAAGGCTGAATGATCTAAAAGTTCAGGTAATAATAATTAATTATGAAAAATAGTGTAAATATAAATAATTCAAAATATATCTTAAAAACATTCTTTATTCCATAGTTATATTATAAAGTATGTATTAAATTTTATACATATTCTAGATGATATATGGTATTAAGAAGTACAATAAAAGATCTGTTATTGTTATCTATATTTTAATAATTACAAAGTATTAATGAGTACTTTATAAAAAAATACAAATTTTTCGAATTTTATAAATTAACTAATAGTTTAAGTTTCATTAAATCAATTTTAACAAAATCCATTTTATTACTACTTTTACATTATTTATTACTTTACATTATAATACAGAACTTTAAAAAAATGTATAATTATGAAATTTATTATAACGTTATAATATGATGCTCTATTATTAATTATAAATGACTAATTAAATATATTTATAACAATGATAAAAGAGTCATAACAAAAAGATTAGTAAATCCGATAAAATCTAGTTTTAACTATTTAATTCTAATTTTATTGATTTTTATCTATTATAAATATTTTTTCGTTAAAACTGGCACAATTACGCAAAAATTATACTAACTAGTTATGGATTATAAATTAAAATTAAATTTAATTTAACCAATTACATTTGTGTAATTTTCAGCAATAATTAATAATCGAATTTATTATAATAAACACGTAGGTACTCATTTATTGCTGCATCCCATACACACTGTATTTTGATTGTACCACAACATTCATCAGAGCGTGAACTGTGCTTCAAAAACTATTCACACAAGGTTCCTAAGGACATCATCAGATAGTTGAGACCCTGTTAAAAAACTGCACTCAATGGGAGTTCAATCCACCTGCTACACCTCACATGGTAGAAAAATAGGAAGCAGTGGTAAAATCCATTAAGTACCACGTAAGGCGCACAATTGGTGGAAAAACACTGACATTTGATAAAATCACTACAATGCTCCCCCAAGCAATTCTTAACTCAAGGCCATTAGAACCCATGAGCGATGACCCCGATGACCTGTCTGCACCCACACGAGTACATTTTCTAATAGGGAATTCACCCACCACAATTCCAGAATCATCTCTAAAGGATTTGTCAATTTCAGGATTAACCCGCAGGAATTTTATACAACAACGTGTACAACAATTCTGGGCATAGTGGTCGATGCATTACCTGCAACAACAGTTATTGATTTCAAAATGGCACCACCCACGGAATGACATCCAAATTGGCTCACTGGTACTCATAACCGACGAACGATTATCGCCCTGCAAATGGTCACTTGCCAGAGTAATTGAAATCCATCCTGGCGGAGACGGCCTAACCAGACTCGTCACATTAAAAACTGCGTCAACCATCATGGTCCGAGCAATTCACAAATTTGCAGAGGATCATCAAGCGCGTTGCTGATGGCGGGCGGAATGTTTAGGTTTGGAGCACCTAACATCAAAACTTCAATTCCACAAAATTGTAATTGCTATAACTCACAATATCATAAAATTTCACTACGAAAATTCTCGGTAAAAAGTAACACCTTTGCTTAAGAAAGTCCTGCAATGTATCCGTATAGCAACTATAGAGAAGTCTCCAACCGGCAAAGGCTTGCCTTCCTACAAATTGACAGAAATTTCTGGAACTGAAAATCTAACGGTAATTTTCGGCATAGCAACACTAAAGGTATTACTGCCAGACTCCACAAGCGTTCGCATATATTAAGGGCAGCGCGCGACGAAGTAAATCAGTCTTGTTGAATGAGTGTATAAGAAATAGTACAATTCACATCTGAGCGAAGTATTACGCTATCCATACGTCTGTCAACGGGGATCTGTGCAGGGTACACTACTTATTATTACTTAAAATTTTATTGTTACTCGGCGCATTTCGCTCGCGGTTAGCCTTCAGACACATTGATACTCATTCATACCGCGACTTTTTTTCAAAGCAACTACCAATAAGGAGTGATACGATCTCAACAATTCTCACTACCAACGGTGAATCGCATTACATATTTATAATTCAAAACCAAAACAAATATCTCGAAAACCAATTGTGTTGATACTGAATTGAAGCATTACCCTCGCACTCATCCTCACTCTTTTTCATATCACTTTTCCACCAGTAAAACGGTGGAATGGTCTAATCCAATCACCTCGGTGTCTCAAACCGTCAGGCGAGTGGAATTCTGAACAGTAATTTTATGTTTTTTATTGAAATATAACTGTTAATTATTACTACAATATATAAATGTTAAAGCAGATGATTCATAATTATTATAGGTTCGGAAAATTAAACTAGAAATTTATAAGCAAATTTATAATACTATTTGTCTATGGATTATATTTTAATTCTATTGAAAATATTAAATAACTATTACTAATTTGTTAGAAAGATGTTCAAAAGCTGAAGTTAAAAGTAAATACTTAATTTACTATTGTGGCTATTTTTTAAATATATTCAAAATAATGATTTTAAATAAAAAACAATCTATTAAAGGTATGTAAAAAATAAAAAGAGAGAGTGAATATGTATAAATATGTGTGCTGTAAATAACTAATATTGATAATAGATATATTTTATAAATGAAATTACGAATTATAAAAATGTACAATAATTGTTAGAGCATTAGATATGTTATATGTATAATTATTGGATAATAATTCTAGCTAATTATTTATTATATTAAATAAATACACATATTTTCAATTTTATTTGATTTCATATTAATTCCATGTACAAAAAAAATGTTCATCACAAGTAACAACTCTTTAGTACAAAAGTCCATGTAAAAATATATAATATACAAGTGAATTATACTATCAGTAAGTTGAGCAGTAAATAAACTATTAGCAATACGAAAATATAATCTAGAATTAAAATTTTTTATATAAATTATAATTTATCTTGAATTTATCTCTTCAACTTTAATAATATTTACTAAATGAACGGATTAAACATTAATACAAGATATTTATTTTAAGGTTGATAAACTGAGACAACAGGCTGCTGATCAGGAAACTAATTTACGAACTCAAGAAGACGAATTAAATAATAAACGTCAAGAAATCGAATGTTTAAAACTAACAGAACAAAATTTAGACGCACAACAACATAAATATAAAAATCGTTTAAATTATTTATCAGAGCAGTTACAAAATATTCAACTGAAAATTAGTCAAACCAAAGCCAGATTGACACAACTTGAAGAAAAGCAACATCAAATTGTTGATATTATTTCACAATATGATTCTGCTTTGACTACTGGAAACGTTGCTTATATACCGGACGCATCATTATTATTTAAAGTAAAAATAGAAACAGCAATGTAAGTATAATAAACCATTTATATTATTGAAAAAATGTAATAAAAATGATTCCATTGATTTAAATATCACTTAAAGTTTATTTTATAGTTATGATGTTTTATTCGATTTTAAAAATTGCAGTATAATATTAAATACAAATTATATATATAAAAAACTTAAGATATGTATAAAAATTAATATTAAGTAGAATGCCTGTTTATCATCTATATAATATTCTTTGAAGGTTAAATGAATATATGTATTACAGGTATACATACATACATATATACATATATCTATTACTGCAAAGGTAAATTCTTTTAATATTCCCATGCATCATTATTAAGAAATATACACATTTTTTTAAAAAGGATTACTTTTTAAAATTTATATAAAATGTTGATGTAAAATACTAATTTATTTGCAACATATTCATTTCAATCATATTTCTTCTGTCGTCATTATATATTGAACTATATAACATAAATGTTAATGTATAAATTGGTCTAATACATTCAAATTTATAAAGTAAAATATATTCTTATACGGCCTCCATTATGATTTAAAATATTCAGTTTGAAAAAATCTTGATCTAGTCTCTCTCGTCTTAATTTTTTGATACATTTCATTTCCATATGTTTATAAAATATGTTTAATAAAATTATAATTTTTGTATATACAATTTTTAGATTTATATACAAATATATGCATTTGCATGTTTATGAATGCCGGCTACATTATTTTATTCAATCAATTTTCGTCCTATGGGATCTATAAATAAAGCTTATTTACTGTTTAATCCATTTTCTAGTTTCAAGATTCGTGAAAGTTAGAGTTGATCAAAAGTTTCTGTATTCTATTTTATTCAGAGTCATAACGTGCCAACGAAGTAGTTAGAAAACCATGAAATTCACTATTGTATTTTATAATAAAGTAACTTTTAAATGTATGTATAAAATAATTTTAAATTCACTATCTTATTTAATTATCTATGTTGCATTTTAAATTTATGGAAATTCGTCATTTTCTACACATATTTTTATTATAGTTTGTCTAATTATATTAAAAAAATTAAAAATCAAGAAAACAAATTGTTATTCAAAAATCAAATTATAGAAAAAAATGAATGTAAATATAACTTTCAACAAAAAAATGAAAAAATTCTATTTTTGATTACTCATTTAATTGTATATTATAATGAAAATTTGGATTTTTTTATAACTATGAAAATCTGAAATTTAATAAAATTACAAATTTTCTTAATGCATTTGTTTATAACAATGTTGGACAAATACTTTCAAATTTTCAAACCCGACGTTCACTATATCATTAGTATATATATATATATATATATATATATATATATAATTATAAAATTGTTAATTTCGTAGATATAATCTTAATACCACAACCGATTTGGAAAGTGCCAAGACAGATAGTGAATATCAAAAGCAGTTTGATAACCTTGAAGATAATAAATTTAAATCTACAGGCAAAGACAATTTTGATGAAGTGCATCATCGATTTAAAACATGTTTTCAATCGGAAGGAGAAAAGGTTGGTTAATTCTTTATTAAGCTCAATAAATTAAGTATGAATTTTAATTTTTATAAATTGATTTAAATTTGTTATATGACGCTTGTACAAAAATTGAATTATATTTAAATAAATATAACAAAGTACATTTAAATAATATATAATTATTTAAACTATAATTATATATTATTTATGAACTTATCAATATATTGTAATTTGTTCGGAAGTGGAGCATTTTATTCAAGGCCATCGGTTCTCAGAATGTTTATATTTTCTCACATTGAATTCCCAATTATCCAAAAGCAGAATTCTCGAAGGTTCTATAAGGTTGCTTAGCCTTCGCGTAGCAACATCGATTGAATTCTCGAATCTTCCAAGGTTTGCTTTCGCCGAATTCTCGACTAGCCGAAAGCTTAGATTCTCGATCGTTTCCGAAGGCTGCTTGGCCTGGAACGGTTACGTTGCCTTTGCCTGATTCTCGGGTAGTCAAAGTCGTAGAATTGTCGATCGCTCTTCAAGGCTACTAAACCTCGAACTCGGAAAATTATATTTTCTCACGCCGAATTTCCGACTAGCCAGAATCATAGAATTCTTGATCTCTCTACAAGGTTGTTTAGCCTCGAACTCGGAAAGTAAATTTTTCACGCTGAATTTCCGATTAGCCAAAATCATAGAATTCTTCATCGCTCTACATGGCTACTTACCCTTGAACTCGAAAAGTTACCTTTTCGCACGCCGAATTTCCGACTAAGTCAAAGCTTATATTCTCGCTGGTGCTAGTTGCCGCGCTGATACTTAAGGAAGCACGCATCAAGCCTCTTAGTAGTTATCACTCAGCAGTCACTCAGTACGTAGTGTTGATAGTTATAAAGTGTCACAATTCAGTTATTTGTCCAAACCAATCATCTACGTCCAAGCCACGCTATAGCACGGAGTCTTTGCCAGAAAAAGATCAAGCAATACACACTCATTCGACTCAGCTATTGCAAGGAATGGTCGTTCATTTCTTCCCGTTCTAGAAAATAGTCGACTACTCTCGAAAGTATATTATTTATCTTTATTGCGAATAACTAGCACACAAATACTCCAATATTCTCCTTATGAGTATGCTCGATTCTTCCGAAGATATTACCATATTCCCTTTATGAGTGTGGTCGATTCTTCCTACTAAATACTACAGACATTACCATACTCCCCTTATGAGTATGGTCAATTCTCCCTGCTAAGCACTGCTATTTGCCATTACCACCTTCCCGTGCTCATCTGATGAGCATGGTCGACTGTTCTTGCTGATCTTTACAACGTCAGTATAGAACCTAATAAACCATATTTCCCTTCAGGGAATATTCAAAATCCATTGCTGATCTTCATAACATCATCAACGACATCGCCACCATTACTAAGAAGCAACCACATTGTAATAGAACAATCCCCTCTGTCCCAAAAGAAGCGAACATAGAACTGCAATATTGTAATTGTTAGTTAAACAGAATAAACGATGTCTTAAACGAAATTACACACTGTACATTTTTTCAGCTCTTCCACGTGTGTCCTTTCCTACGCATCACTACGACGAGAGACTAATAAACTGAACTATTGGATTTGGCAGTTCCAGTCACAAACTAAACTTTCGAAAATTTGGTCCTTCGAGCCGGACTGTCTGGGATCAGACTAAAAGCCTCCCTGTGATGGTGGATGGAGGCTTGCTGGAAAGTGGAAGGGACAATGCAATAATTCAATATTGCCTTTAGAGTGTAGTGTCTTTCCCTTTATTGAATATAATAAATATAATAAATAGTCAGTGACCTATGGGTGTCGAAATGAATGTATAAATGAATGGATGAAAGTTTCTTCAATAAATATTAGTGACAATAATTCTGTAAGCGTATTCTTGATAGCCTGGAGCTTGATTCTCCTTCTCCTTATGAATTCGTAGTAGTAGTGGGAGACGCGCTGGTAGGGGCAGCGAGTTGGGGCCGCCTTAACCGCTGGCGTAGGATGAGCGCTGTAGTGGTCTAGTGGTGGGAGGATGTCTGTGTGACGTCACTGCTTGACGGGGTGGGAGGTTCACTCGTACTGTATACCGTGATATAGGTAGTTGGCGGTATTGGTGTATGTTAATAGTGTTGTTGCTTACGTAGTTGACGGGGGCCGTGTATTAGTGAACGGAAAGAACGTGTGTAATAGCGTAGCTTACGTACGTGTTGGAGTCGACTCAGTAGTAGTAAGCCGAATGAGCTTAGCTTACTTGTAAGGTGTAGTCGATCTCTGTAGTGGTAGTAGGCCGAATGAGCTTAGCTTACGTACGTGTTGGAGTCGATCTCAGTAGTAGTAAGCCAAATGAGCTTAGCTTACTTGTAAGGTGTAGTCGATCTCTGTAGTGGTAGTAGGCCGAATGAGCTTAGCTTACGTATGAGTTGGAGTTCATCTGTATGATTTGGAGTCGATCTCTATAGTGATAGTAAGCCGAATGAGCTTAGCTTACGTATGATGTGGAGTCAATCTCTGTAGTGTTGGCTGGAGCCGAACTGAAGAATGGCGATTCTGTCGTGATGAATGCTTGATTAACTAGTAAGAGTGTAGTAGTAAGGAACGAGCGTGGTGCGTTGCTTATGGAGGCGTGGGTTCCGGTATAGTTGTGGCATCGCTATTAGTTCCTTAGCTTGCTTGATGTGAAAAGGCCGTGATCGGTAGTAGTAAGGGCGAGAGCGTCAAGCGTAGCTCTTTAAATATCCTAGTACAAGCTTGCGGATCCGGTGACTACCGGATCACTCTTGCCATGCCGATTATTAGAGTGACGTTACCAGAGTCTTGGGGAGTTCGTCGGCCCTTGTTAGTTGGAATTGTAATGTAATATTCGAATATTTTGCGAATTGTGTTTATGACTCGGCACGCAAATGTTTCTAACTAAGCACAGGTGTCTTTACTTCTCCGACTTTGTATACTGCTTAAAACTGCTGTAATCCGTAACAATTAGGAAGTATTAATACATATTGCATTGATATATAGAAGAATAATTATTATTTTAACACAATTGGAAGTTTTGTTATTGAAATAAGTTTGCACCTATTTGTAACAAGTCATACATGTATATCTTGTATTTGCCTAGGAAGCAGCGAATTAAAGGTGTAAAATTTATACATAATATATTATCAATAATAAAGTATATATTATGTAACATAAAATTAGTTCAGATGAATAATTAAATTAGAGTGACGGTAAAAGAAAACACTGAACTGTTAACTATTTAAAATTATAATTTATATAAAATTTAAAAATAAATACTTATTACGTGAAAAGTATTTTCTTTCACAAGGAACTATGTTATTACATAAGCCCAGCGTTAATTATACTAAGCAATATAAATTATTACATTGAATTACTACTTTTGGGAAAAAAAAATATATATAAACCTTCAAAGTTTATAAAACAATTATTTACCTGTTTATTTATCACGTTGATTGAATAATACACTCAACGTAATATTTATTAAAACATTCGTGTCAATGGTTAAATTTAAATACATTTTCGAAATTCATAAATTTAGCACTACTTAATATATGTAAATAATATTTTTTATAGTCTTTATTAATATTCTCTCTGTATATTCTTTTTATCCCCAAGATTTTCGATGGTAGTTTTGTAATATAAAATAAAAAAAATTCAAGGGAATTTATTTATATAATAAATATCTATTTCTTTTTGTATACAATTTTAACTTATATTTTGATTTAAATAAACGTAAAGAATATAAAATAATTTATGTGTAATAATATCAATTGATATAATTTTGTAATTGATTTAGAAATTTAGTGACTTACATCCATTTAACCTCAACGCCAAAGAATTATATGATCCATTCAATGATGGTGTAATACTATGTAAAAAAACATCTGATTCATTACAGGTAAAAATATTTTTTTATAATAATGTTAATAATGTAATCTGATTAAAAGAAAACAAATATATTCCATAAATTTTAATATCTAGTTCATTTAAATTGAAATTTCATATATATATATATATGTATCAGAATACTGTTTCAATAATAAAAATAATAATAACTGGTAAATAATTAATTATGGTTGAAATACAGTATTTTTATGATAATAATATACAAACTGAACAAGAGTTGTATTTTCAAAACGTAAATTAAAAAAGAAAAATTATTTTATAAAAGTGAAGAAATAACATGGTCAAATTGAAAAATTGTATAATTCATAAATATTGTTAAAGTGCACTGTGTGTCTTATTTAAAATATATTATTATAAGCTTTTATAATTTCTCACTTATAATAAGTTTATAAAGGAAAAATTTAAAATATGTATAATTTTTTTATATTTTAATTAATATAAAATAAATTGCATCGAGTTTTTATATAATTATTAATGGTTACATTGATATACATTGAGTAATGTAAATAATGTTTTTTTAGGTTTATTTTATAATATCCATTGCCAACGTAAATACCATCTTTAAACAATTAAGTTAATAATTCACGGAATTTATAAATTAAATTTAAGGAAGCCAATATTTTAATCGGCTATAGAATGTGTGAAAGTTAAGAATATAATAAGTGTTCGGGATTGAAGCAGTTGAAAGCGGAATCCAAAAGTGGCAGAGGTATAAGCTCCCGGACATTTACGTTTATAAACAGAATTTAGCGAATTCGGGAAATTTCTTACGCTGAAACTTCGAATCTACGATTACAATTCCGAATAGCAATGCCGATGAATCTTCCAAGGTTATATCCTACTGTACAAAATGTATTCGCCGTTCCGGTTTGTTTCACCAGGGCCGGTTCGAAGGATAAAAATTGATGCCGTTGACAACTCAGAGACCACGGGTGTTGTGTGGTAGCGATGACAGGTCACAAGTGGAAGTGATATTATAATAATACAGTATAAATATGGCTGGTATATATGCTGTTTATTCTGTTATTTATTGATGACAAGGTTGACTAGTATTACGATTATTGATTATTGAAATAACTCTTGGGTTGGATTGATGTGTTTGTGATGGCAAACGTATACTCATCTATGCAGCTTGATGGTTTGAATGTGACTGTAGAATGGCGCGAAGTTTGATTCGTCGATACTGGCGCTGTTTGTTGCTTAAGTTCATAAGCATCCAAACTTGAACTAAGGTGAGGGTTTGCCGACAAGACGCCCCTTAGCGGGCGCGAACTTGACGCGTACTGGAATCTATTCTGCACTGTTGCTCTGGGGAAAGCTTCTTCGTCCTTAGTTGTTTGTCGATATCATAATCTCTGAATCTCAGAGTATGTAATTATTGTAATAATAATATTACTTACGAAGACTGCTGGTATATTTGAAATTGGGACCTTGTTCTTTCTTCTATGGGGCTTGTCGTTGGAATGCGTCGCCCGCAAATAGGACTTGTAACTATAGTTGTCTTGAACTACGCTAATAGAAGACTTTCCACTTTTTAATTGAATAAGTAGTGTATCGAGAGTGATGAACATTGAAAAAAGCGCCCCTTAAATACATTTGCTGACCATGAACTTCACTTGAACCCCTTCCCTTATCTTTCGTCCAATCAGAGACTCCTCCCTTACAGAGCGAGGGCAGCGCCTCTTGTGGCCTTATAGTTAGTTAAGGGCATAGTCGTCTCTTGGTCTTCATGGTAAGAAGAGCTCTTATTAGCACTATTGCTATATAGTGGCGAGCCATAAAGTTTTGAAATCTAAACACAAATTTTACGATGTTATATTGCATTGAAAAAGGTCTCGCAATCTCGAATACCTAATAACATCACGACAAAGATCGGCATAACAACAGACACCGGTGCGTTGCCGGTGTCGCATGCTCCTATGAGAATATTTAAGAGCAGCGGTTGACGCGTAGTCTCCACTATCCTAGTAATAATTACGCAGTCACTACGATGGGCTCACTATTCTATCTACAGGCATCACTCACTGTAGCTATATAAGTACGTAATCATCAACTAATGAGCAATCTGACAAATCAGTAGTGACGCTACACTAACAGAATCCGTTAAACTAAAGCTTAGACTTATATCCAAGAAGTGCTAGTGCAAACATAAGCTAAAAGTGAAATTATCTAAACTATAACTACAACATACATTCACGGATCACACCATCGGCTAAAGCAGCAGCGACTCGTGCCTTCCTTTAGTAAGCATCGGTTACAACAGCCGCACTTCTCGCCCAAAAGATGGACTCGCGCCTCACACTACTGAGAGTACACACACTCTCATCAGCACATAAAGTAATTGAAGAAATTTCATACACTTCTATAACCATTAACGATTATTATGTAATATATTTAATAAATGAAAGACCAAAATATAGAGTATAGAATTGAATAATTGCATTGCCTCCTCCACTTGCCAGCACACCTCCATCCACCAACACCAGGAGGTTTTTCAGTCTGATTCGAGACAATAAGAATCTGATAATTTTTATCTTACAATTTATATGTAGATTAACTCTACATAGTAGAACCTAATAGTTCGTAATTATAAGTCTATCCTGAAAAGAGATTCTATAAAAATTAAAATACCAATCGCAACAATAATACGAAAAACTAAAATCTAATAGTACTAGATAGAGGATTTCGTTTGATGACTGAAGATATTGATCGCTACCTTGTGTCATCGAAGTTATAAAATTACCTATCGACATATTATCTTTATATAATTTGAGTTTAATACAAAAGTTCAATATCGTTAACAAAGTCACCTGCAAATCGATGTGACATGCAATATGTCATTAAAATTTATATGATAAATGAAGGTAAATGAAATTTTAAAATCTCAATCAACAGAAAGAAATCAATCTCATAAGATGAACAACAGATCACGAGAATTAAGCTGTAACAGTTCTAAAAAGATTTGAGTAATGCAACTGAATTACAAACGACATTCTCTTTCGTAACTGTTTTGAAAAGGTTATTTTTCTAGAAAAGGAAAGTGACATTTCATTTTCAACATATATAAATCAAGATTAGTCATATCTTTAACATTTACCGCATTTCTTAAAATTTTCAAGAATCTTGGAAAGTACTAAACAATTTATTTTGAAGTAATATATATATATAAGTTATTGGTAGTATTTAAAAACTGTGAAGTTGTCAAAAATAAATATTTTCGTAGAACTTTGTAACTAATAACTAAAATTATCACAACATAGCCTGCAAGTAATCCATAAAAATATGCTGAATGTGTCAAAAATCATAAAATTAAATATTGTTTTTAAAAATTTCAAATATTCATACAAGATTTAATATATCACAAATAATTTTTAACGTATTATCCTAATCAACATAAAGTACAATTATATCAATAAAAAAGCATGTAATGTGTAAAAAACGTATTACTTGCAAATAAAATTTTTTTGCAATAACATATAATGTATTATGTATTCTTAATTAAAAATATCTTTTATTTCTAATATTAACTTTAGAATCTCAATTTTTGTGTAATTAGTGTGTCCTCTTATTTCTCTGTTTTGAAAAAAAAATCTATAATTATTTTTATCATTAATATTTTCACACTAATAACTATGCCAATGTATTTTATATACATATAAAATTGTACATTTATAAAACCTATACCATACATTTTTATAATTAATTGATTCTAACGCTAATTTGTATTTAGTGAAATATATCGATATATATAAAATAATCTTTCATGTATTATTATTCATTATCATATTATTATTCAATATCAATAATATTAATTAATATTATTGACGATTAAAGTTTACATATATATTTTGTGTTTACATACAAAGCGTGAATTAGAAGAATTTTATATTTATTTATTTTTTAATAGATAACAGATCCATTTGGTGATGATCCATTTGCTGCATTGCATGCTCCAATTCGTCCCGAAAGTCCGAGTCCAGCTTTACCACCAAAAAAAAGCAAGCAACCACCTCCCAGACCTGCACCACCAAGGTCAATTCAAGGTCCACAAAACTTATTAAAAAAATCATCTTCAATCGTATCTATAATGAATACTTCTGACCCTTTTAATAACACTAATGCAATTATTAATACTAGTAATGCATTTGAGTTCGCTGATTTTGCTAAATTCAATCAAAAGGTTAGTAGTGATTGTATATATTAAGATATTAGTTATTTATTATTTCTTTGATAATATTTTAATTTTAATATATTTCCTACACCGTATTTTATAATAAAAATTTAATTTTAAAAGTATATAATGATTATATTTTTTATAAAATTAATAATATATACTTGATTTTTATTAATTAAAATTGTATAACTTTCATCATTAAATTTTTGTAGAAATACTTTCATAATTAATCCTCTTTTTAGAGTCTAAGGTCGTAGTTCTGAAAATGACATAAGTACATCGATTCCGATACAGTAATCAAATCAATTCAAATATTCTTTAATGATCTAAATTTTTATGTTGTCATTAATAATTACATTTAAAATAAAAATTAAATTATATTTATATTTGTAGGTATTAGCTGTTGAGGCGTTAAAATGTTATTACTATTTGACTAATATATCATCTATACAAATATATATAATAAACTATTTATTTATTTATTATTTAAAATTATAGAATTATCTAAACTATTGATTTAACTTCATAAATTCTCGACAATTATGTTACTTTATATATAATGAAATTTCATTTACAGTTTGTAATAAATATTCGACAAGTTATATTTACATAAACAATATTAAATGTATTAATCATTTACTATTTCATTCTTCATTGTTTCAAAACATTTTTTTTTTAGTTAAGGTCACATGTTATTTAAATAATATCAATAAAATGTTCAATTTTAATACAATTTTTGTAAAAATAAAAAGTTATAATAAAAATAAAATATTTATTTAATATTCTATTATTTAAGTTTTCTAAATTGAAATATTTATAATTAAAAAATTTTCTTAATAATCAATTATCCATGTAAGATTAAGACTTAAAATGTACATTGAATATTTACTTTCGAAATTCGCTGTTATTTATATATTTAATATTGTACAAGTTTGCATACCGAGTTGTTTTTATTTTGATCTTATTTTCAAATTTTCTACGGTTCATTTAATTTTTATATTAATGTGAATTATTTTCGTAAAACGGTTTTTATTAACAATAATTTTTTTAAAGTATATTTTTTGTATATCAGTGTTAATAACCCTGATATAATTTTATTTTTATATGTAATTATTTTAATAATTTATTATGATTTCTTTTTTTCAAAATTGATAATACCAAGAATGTAAAGAAAAATCTTTTGAAAAATAACAAAAAAAAATAAAATATTTATGTTAGTTTCTGGGAAACAATTCAGAAGATTTAAAATAAAAAGATTCAATGTACAATAATTTAATAAAATAAAAAAATTCGTATAAAATAACAAATGTACATGTTGCTCTATAAATATAAATGAGAAATATGGATTTTAAAAAAATGAAAAGTTAATAAACTGTAAGAAAAAATAGGCTTTGTAAGAATACAATTATTTTTGTCAAAGAAAGTTAGAACAAGATAAAAGTATGTTTCATGAAATAAGATTATTCCTTGTTTTTATTTATTTAAAACGACTGTTAAAGTTGCTGGAAAATATCTACTTAAAAAAAATTAAAACGTTTTTATTATATTTCATTACTTTTTATACGTATGTGTTTATTATCGTAGATACCACGAATGATGTACATATAATAGATATTCAGTGTTAGAATAATATTTTAATTATTTATACATTATTCGCTGGATGATATTTGAAAATTCTTAAAAATTATTTAATTACATATTACATGCCAAAAATATTAAACTGGAAGGCTCAATTATAATTTTAATTTACAAATAAAAAAGTAATTATTTTTTAATCACTATTGAAGTATAAAGGAGAATAGGAAAAATTAAAAAAATACTCTTCTAATTAGTTAATTCCATTAAAAAATCTTGCAATTTGTTTGTGATAAACTTTTTTAATATATAAATATATAGTTTATATTAAAATATTTACAAGTTATAATTTTATAAAAAAATCATAATTCAATAAATAATCTTATTCTAATTTAATAATTAATAATGAGAATTTATATTTGAAATTATTATATATGCAGTGCCTGTTCATTGTAGCTTTATAATTTATTTAACTGAAATATCTCAAACAAATTTTTCCATACTTTAATACACGCAATGAAACATGAATACATTGTCTTTTTAAAAAGAATCGAAAAAATATATTCAACGAATATTATTTAATAGAACATTATATTTATCATACTTAGTATACTTAGCTCTTTAATTGATATATAAATTTTACCTGATATCACTAGATAATATCGAATTGTAAAACTAAAACATCTGCTATATATATGTAAATAATTTTCAAATGGGATAAAACATAATAAAATATACAAAATATTTGGAATAATTTGTTTATTTATCTAAATATTTGATTTAATTTAAGAAAAAAAAAGAAAGAATTTATTTTATATATTACATTTGACTTGACTATTGGTAAGAGTGCTAGCCAGATACAAAAGATATAAAATATTTAATTACAATTAGGTCATTTTTCTAGAGTATTATAATTGAACTCAACATACATTTTTATCTGTATGTATCTAGCAGATATTCTTATCATTTGAATGACAATTTGTCATTAATAGTCGGTATTATTTTATATTATTTTTAATTACACTAAATATAATATTAATGTTTTCTCATCTTTTCAATTAGATACCGTCTATACTGCTTTAATTAATTTTCCTCCTGGGCTACTTTTTTTATAAGTTACTATTTTTTATTAGTTAATTTTAGATTGTATTATATATTTACGAATATTATAAAAAATGCATAATGAAAGTATTTAAATTATATAGAAACAACAGTATTATCCATATTTTAACGAGATAAAACAATATTGTTAGCGCTGAGTCGATTGAAATCGATCAGACGCATAGTACCTAATAACCATGAATCAAGATAAAAAATAATCGAAAATTAAATAGCAGGCGTAAGCTTGTAAAGTAACTTCAATATATCTTTGTTGTATTAAAACGATTTAATGAAATATTTAATAAACAATGCGTGTGACAAAAACATACAAAAACATTGTGCAAGGGTAGTACACTTTAATGGAAAAAAACAATAAAAGAAAAAGTGAGAAAGAGAGACTACGAAAGGAAGATCACAAAGGATATATTAAAATAATAACAAACCAAAAAAAGGATAAATATATAAATCGGTAAAATAAATTACTTTGACTATGATAAGTTATATATTTAGAGCGGACACAATATTCGAAAAAAATCTAATATAACGAATAATAATTAAACAAATTTTTTTTTGCTATATGTTATCCGTTTTTCAATTCATTTACTGGTTTCCGTATTATTATTTCTATATTTACCAGTTAATTAAAAACTAATTTTTATTGTAATAATTACTTTTTTAGTAATATAATATCTATGCATTACCCGAAGTACGTCTTAGTATTTATAATTTGAATTTTATTTAATATTTATTTTTCTTTTTCTTATATCTAAGATAAAACTTATTTATAAAACTCGAATCGTGCCAAGTGAACTTCGGCTCGCGAGTGATTAGGCGCTTGACTTGATGTTGGAATTGACTGATTGATATTCGGCTCGTGCCGGTGGTCGGGATTATTACAAATAATTGTCGCTCTCTTTTGTGGTTTGATCAAAACCATTTGCTGTGGCGTGACCGGTAATGTCTCGCAATACTAAGTTTAGACTTAGGCAGGGATCTACTGTGAGAATCAGCGCCCTCTTTTGCGGTCTGATAAGAATCAAATCGTAGGGCTTTACTGATACGGTAGACGTGGGCCGCGAATGATCATGAAACGTTTATCCCGGGTAGCATGATCGGTAAGATCTCGCCCTGCTAACGGCCGGGCTCTATATATAAATATGATAGATGTAGGCCGGGTTCTTTCAATAAATATGATACGCAGTCTGGGGGTGCGGTCACGAGAAATAGGCGAGGGTTTACGACAAGTGTGAGGAATATCGATAGTTGGCCAGCAATAATAATCGAATAATAATAATAATATACCTTGCAAGAATTCCTTCAGACGAGTTCAGCTTTCACAGATATGACGCACTAGTTTCACTGAGTAATTCAACAAGACTGTTTTCTTCTCCGTTCATTGCTTCTTAAATACGATTGCGTAAATTTAGTGTTATGAATTCTTGGAGGCTTTAGTGAATTCTCTGCAAGCAAGTTTTGATAACTTCGAGAAACTTCTTTTGTTGCTATGCGGACGAAGTGCGCGGCTAAATTTCCAGTGAATATTTGTAACGTATAATTCGAATATTGCATCTGAATCTAAGTGTGATATATCGGAATCGTATTTTAACAAACAATAAATTCTTATTTTTCGTTGGGTGGTTCAATCCTGAACAGTAAGAAAAAATCATGATAAAAATTTCATCTTCTAAACACTGATGTGGTTATATAATCTATATCTAAACATTGATGTAATTTATTAACCATTGTCTAATTTATTGATTTAATGTAATAACTAATTAAATATAATATTCTGTATAATAAAATTGTCTCCTCAGTTTCTTAAATAACAAAGAAAAAACAAATTTGTGCGCCATCCCAAAACATCGCCGTTCCGACTTGTTTTATCAAGACCGATTCGACGGATACAAATTGATGCAATTGACAACTCAGAAACCATGGGTGTTGTGTGGTAGCGATGAAAGGTCACAAGTGGAAGGGATATAATAATACAATATAAATATGGCTGATGTATATGCTGTTTATTCTGTTATTTATTGATGACAAGGTTGACTAGTATTACTATTATTAATTATTAAAGTTAAAGACCGGCAAGTCCCGCATCAGATGATGCGACTTTGACGACGAGCTTGGAATTATTCCGCACTGTCTCTTTGATATAAAAATATTTGATATAAAAATTTGATATAAATAAGATTGTCGAAGACGTATTCTGAATCTTAAGTTTTATTTAATTACTGTAGTGGTGATACTACTTACGAAGACTAATCGTTGACTCGTCTCCGGACTCTGATATGCGGATGATCGTCGCTCCCTTTGAACATGTAACAACGGTTTCTTGAACTGTGTTAGTGGACATACGGGTGTATGTCGTCGTTCCTCCAGGGCTTGTAATTACTGTTCCTTTGACAGCGTTAATGGACTTCCACTTGACTTATTTGAATAAAAACAATATCGAGAGTGATGAATATTAAAAAATGCACCCTTAAATACATTTGCTGACCATGAACTTCACTTGAACCCCTTCCCTTATTTTTCGTCCAATCAGAGACTTCTCCCTTATGGCTCTTATTATGGCTTCATAGTTAGGTAAGGGCCTAGTTGTCTCTTGGTCTTCATGGCAAGAAGAGCTTTCGTTGCTGCTGACGCATCTGGCGACAGCATAACAACCTGTTGGCAGCGTGAAGGGAGGAGTAGGTCCGCTCGACATAATGCCTGAAGTAATTACCAAGCGGAGCGAATTCGTACAGTTTTTTCCAGATGTTTTATGACATTAGTGCTTGATAATTGCGAGCAAGAAAGTTTTGAAATCTAAATATAAAATCTACGATGTTACTTGCCAGATGTGTTATTGCATTGAAAAAAGGTCTCGCATTCTCGAACAAAATTATATTGTAAATTTGATCCTAGCCCATAATATTACAATGAAATCAGCTAGAATAATGTACAAGTTACAAGATAATATGCAAATATACAATAGTTAGACATAATACGATTATAGAAATGGTTATTAATAATAAACACAGAAATCTGAACTATATATAACCGTTTATTATAAAATACAGAGCAAATTGCAAATCAATGCAGATTAGTGAATTAGGCTAGTGACTGTCTTAAATTCTTATAAATATGATTAGTTTGGAAAATTGTTTTTTTTGTATCAATTATAACCTAAATAAAGCGCTTTTTCTATTCTAGGATTATAAGTAATACACACTTCAAAAATTAATATCTACTTCAGTTATATGTCGATTATTGGAAAAAGCTTGTTTTCTATATAAATTATAAGAAATAAGATTAGTATTGAAATTCATTTTATTAATGTTTTATTTATTATTTTTTAACTATATTAAAAATATTATTTTAGTTTATCAAAAATTATAATATTCAATATTTTTATTATATTGTATTTTTAATTAAACCAATATAATTTGAAATAGAAAAACTTTGTTAATACAGTGCCTTTAAAATAAAAGAATTGTTGCACTAAAATATTTTTTATTACCTAAAAATTATAAACAATTAAAAGCCATAATTTTTTACGATTACCTCTTAAAACATTAATTATTAATATACTACTATTCATCTTACTCTTATATAAAACTAACATTTATCTAATAATTTAATTGATTTTTTTAATTGAATTAAAACCAGAATTTGTTTGGGACTTATATTAATTAAAACTTTCTTATCTTGAAAGGATAGACTTAGAAATTTTAAATAAGTTTTGATTATAATATTTAGTGATAACAAGATTAAATTGACAAATAAACATGAGCTAATGTATTTTACTAATATTATTTATATTATAATTAAATATTAATTATGCCATGAAATCTTAGTAAATTTTATAAATTATATTAGTACAATTAATATGGTTTCGAAAGAAAAATAACAATTATATCACTTGGATATAATTAAAAAATGATTATATATTTAAATATTATCAATTAAATATAAATGAATTAGAATTTAAAATATGAAATAGATCATTTGTTTTGTATATTTATTTTGTTTTATTCAATATTAAATAATTCATTTATTCATGAAGTAGTATTAATAGATTTCTTTTCTTCTTAATAAATGTTGATGTTATAAAACATATATACTAAAACTAACATTAAAGACATATGAAATAAGCATTTCAAACATGTATACAACGATACAAATTAAACATGTACGATATCATAACGACTATATCTTATAATTTATAGTTATAGATAATTGTGGATGACAAATCAAGATTGGAAATAAATTAAAAATTAATATTTTAAACGTAGGCGCAATAACAAATATTATATATATTATAAACAAGTTATTAAAATATATTATAATTGAAATACAAGTGGTATATATCAACACTTGTGAATAATACTTTCTAAATTATTCACTGGAATTATTATATCTATGGCTTGTGATAACCCAGGAGGATTAAGATAGTAAAAATAAACTACGGTATCTAATATATTTTCCCTTTCAGTAATTCTATTGATAAACAATAAATGCTTCAGCTTGACCCAGTTACTGCAGAGAATAGAATCCACAGATTAAATAGAAATATTAAAATTGATTTATCTATTGTAAAAAAGTTATCTGATTTCGAAGAAGATCCTTTTCAAGATTATAGATATGAAGACTTATCAATGTTATCAGATCCATTTGATGATAACGTCGGGAATCTAGAAGTTCGTAAAATCAGTCGAAAAGGTAAAAGATAATTTTTAATTAATGTTTTAATACTTCTTGATATCAAATTATTGTTTAAATACTTATATTGTAACATTAATATAATTTTTATTTCATATTATTTTTATTCTTTATGAGTATCATTTAACAAGTTCATGATAGTAAAACTAAAAAAACAGAATTTGTTCATAGCGTAAACTTTATTACTCAACCCTTTCTGTCAGGAAAAGTAACAAAGTCTAAATGTGTGTGATGAATAAGAATTTAAAAATATTAAAATAATGTTCGAGTTTCAAAAATATACGAGTTAGCAATTGTTATAATTAAGAAGTCATTTTTCTAAATAAGTATTACCGTAATTTTTTAAATAAATTATATGTATAACATATTAAAAGTATTCCAATTCTATGTCAAATGAGATAAAATAGCAAATTACAAATTACTATATTTAATTCAGTAATATTTAGCAGATGTGAGATAAGCTATAATACGGCTTGGTCACCTTATCCCAATAAATATGGACATTTCATGCAGTTCTGTAATTAATTCATTATCATCAAATGATCTGTATATAAATTAAGGTACGATCATCGAAAATAATTTGTATTGGTATATTCTGATTATGTAATTAAAAGTTACGTAGAAAATTCGATCTGAAGCAAAAAACTAAAGCAAATTAAATATTTTTCACTTTACAGTATAATACAATTTTGCTATTTAACTTTTATTTAATGATCTTAGATATAATTAGACTTCAAAAATGTACGTTCTAAAGCAATTAGACCGAGCTATTTGATTAGCATGTACAGGTTCCAATTTATATTCCCTCTGATATAATCATTGATTGTTTTTATGCGTTTTAAATTAAAAAAAATTCATTATTTTAAACATAAATTTTTTTTTTTTAAATCTACAATTACTATTTGAGATTAATTAGTTTCTTTAATATAATCTTGTATTATATATTTCTTCATTATTATAAAAGAAATATTAATTGATTTATTATTTATATATCTATGTTTAATAACAATAAATTTGCATGCATTATAATTTTAATTAAATTTTTCTACAGATCTAAAAACTGAAGAGTAAATTCAAACTTCAAGTAATTAGACATGCATTAGAGATGTAAACACATAAACTATAATATGAAAATATAAATTTTATGAAAAAAAAGATTATAAACTACCGAATCACGTTTAAATACTTTAAAAAGCTGAAATATTCAAGCAAAAATCTATAATATTAAAATATGTTTGTAAATAAGTAAAAGTTATAAATTGTATTATTTCACAAAAATAATGAAAATCCTAAAATAATACAATGTAACGTTTGAAACTTATTGTCATTATAGCAACGATTTATAAAAGAAAATTCTGTATCTAGAATATCAGATTATATATACATATCAAATTTATCTAAGTATGTATAAAATCAAACTATTCTTAAACTACAATTATAACAGTTTCTAAATAATGTATGTTCAATGTTGTCTTCTATTATTAAATAAATACATTTCTTGTGAAACCATTTTAATTTATAGCACTACTTTTTTTATTGCCCACAACATCTATTAAAATAGTAATTTTTTATTTCTAAAGAGTTTATTTAATAAGATTATTGATAAATATTAAGTTATATATTATACTTAATACATAATTCTAAACTAAAATTTTAATATGGTTATTCACGTTAATAATTATGCAATATAACGTATGGTTCGAAAATATGTGATTTTCTAGCTCGTACTCAAGTTCGATAACTTATTATGACTACCACCCGCCCTAGCAGATGCTTAGGAAGGAGTTTATATAATTGTTGTGTTTGATTTATGTGATAGAAGGGCATATACTATATTCAATCGTGATGATTTAGTTGCTTAAACTGATTCAGTAGTGAATAGTTTACCTACACGAGATGTTCATTGATGTTGATTTTGTAAAAACCAGCAACTGATTATGCACACTCTTATTAGTGAGTATGGTTGTGCTATATTAATAATAGCATCATGCCAGTATTGTACAGATTAGTACTGATTTATGCTTCAGACTTGGTTTACTCACAGAAAAACAGTAGCCTTGACCTACTCTATGATGAATGGTTCACCATCCCGAATGCTCCGTGTGGATGGATGAACTGTTGTAGTTTGGCCCTTTCTTCATTTGAAGCGGATAGTGTCACATCTTTTATCTCGATGCGTCTTTCTTCGGTGCCCTAAATGAGAGTGTGGCTAATAGCTTGTTGGCTGACTAGCAAGATGATACCCTTCGTCTTGTGGTGTGCTTGCTTTAAATATCTACGCGACAGTTTACTTTGCTGACAAGAATGCAAAGGTGTTCCTATGCAGAAAACATTGCAGGACTTTCGAATCTAAAATTTTAGATGGCCGGAGAGTTCCAACCAACGTTACTATGTGGAGACCAGATATAGATTATAGGACGCACGAAGGTAAAGCTTTAGAAATAAATGAATTGAGAGATAAAAGGCTATTAGCGAGATCCTACGTTCGTGGAAAATGCTCCAATTTAGAACACGTATTTTAATTACATATATATTATTATTTCGAAATCTATAAAAATCAAATGTTTTTCATTGATAGTAGTTTTATAAACATAGAATTTTATAACATTAAATGTATAGATGGTAACAAAAAAAATAATAAAGATGATTTTCTTAGATAAAGCATATCCAATGGATATTTAAATCAATATGTAATAAATATATTTTTATATATAAATATATGTATTTATAAATTTATTTTAGATACTTAAATTTAATGAATTTCGAATTTTTAAATATATTAAAATACAATTTTCTATCGTATGATAATAATAAAATAATGTAGACACATTCATTTACATTTACTTTATTGTAAGTTTTATATGTGGAAAGTCTGTTAAATATGTTTTATAACCTAAAATTTCAAACAATTAAAATTTATTAAATATTTCTATAAAAATGTACAAAATGCAACTCGTCGTTCCGACTTGTTTTATCAAGGCCGGTTCGACGGATATAATTTGATGCCGTTGACAACTCAGAGACCACGGGTGTTGTGTGGTAGCGATGACAGGTCACAAGTGGAAGGGATATTATAATAATACAATATAAATATGGCTGATGTATATGCTGTTTATTCTGTTATTTATTGTTGACAAGGTTGACTAGTATTACTATTATTACTTGTAGAACTAAATTCTTAGATTGAAGTGATGTGTTGCGGAGATAACTGTACAATAATTTATGCAGCTTAATTGTTGAATACGAATGGCGAATGACGCGCAGTTTTGTTCGTCGACACTAGCGCCTTTTGAACGAGCACGTATGTGGTTGAGGTTATGAATGCAGCTTTATGATTGAAAGATATTGCAAAGTAGCGCGAAACTGGATTTGTCGACACTTGCGCTGGGTTTTGCTTACTTTCGTAAGCTTCCAAACTTGAACTAAGGTGAGGGTTACTAAATTGAGACGACCCTGGCAGGCGCGAAACTTGACGACGCGTACTGGAATTTATTCCGCGCTGTCGTTTTAAGAGTAGTTTCCTCGTTCTTAGTACTTGTCGATGTAGTACTCTGAATCTCAATATATATGTAATTATTGTAGTAGATACTACTTACAAAGACTAATCGTTGAGTCGTCTTCGGACTCTGATAGGTGAAATGTCGTAGCTCCCTTGGAACAAGTAACTACGGTTTATTGAACTGCGTTAGTGGACATACGGGTTTATATCGTAGTTTTTCCGTGGCAGTAACTACTGTTCCAGTAACAGTGTTACGGACAATCCGAAGAAGTGTAAGTCGTTCCCGAAATAGCGTTAAATGGACTTTCACGAAAACTTAACTGAGTATGAAATGTCTCAAGGGTTTAACATATTGAGAGAGTATTACTAAAAGAGAGATATCAAAAATGCTAATAAGCAACAGATATCAAAAAAGGAGAGACACTTCAAAAAAGAGTAATATCACGAAAATACTACTAAAGAAAAACTATCGAGAGTAAATATCAAGACAGTTAAATATCTCGAGTGATAAGTATTAAGAGAGTTAAGTATCAAGAGTAAATAAGTATTGAAAATTGCGCCCCTTAAATATATTTGCTGACCATGAATTTGACGTGAACCCCTTCCCTTATTTTCTGTCCAATCAGAGACTCCTCCCTTATTGTGCGAGGGCAGCGCCTCTTGTGGCTTCGGAGTTAATTAAGGGCCTAGTCGTCTCTTGGTCTTCATTACAAGAAGAAGAAAAGGGGGGGGGCATCGCTGACACATCTGGTGAGAACATTGCAACTTGTTGACAGCGGGAAGGGGAAGAAAGGTCCGCTTGCAGTAATGCTTGAGGTAGTTACAGAGCGGAACGAAAATGCAGATCTCTAAACTATAGGTTTTCCCGTGTTTATGGTATTGTTTTTCCAGATGTTTTATAACACTGGTGCTTGATAATTTTGAGCAAGCTAAGTTTTGAAATCCAAATACAAACTTTACAATGTTACTTGCCAGATGTTTTATTGCACTGACAAAAAGGGGGAAATGTTCTCCTATTTTCGAACAAAAAATATTAGTATTAATAGTTACAAATAATATTACATGAAAAGTGTTGAAAAGTCATAATCTTTAAATATATTTTCATGTAAATGTGATTATCTTATTAGAGTGGCTCAATGACAAATAATATTCTTAACGTTTAACATTTTTAATAATATAATCAAATTGAAAAGAATTTCAAAATAAGAAAAGTAAAAAATGTAATATGAGTTCAATAACAATATGTTTAACTCAATAATACATGTTTTAGTATTTTGTTATCGTGACCAATAGTCGGTTAGTGTCTGGAGAAACATACAGCTATTTTTTCCATCTCAATCTGTGGATCTTTATACATAATATATATAATCTATATTAATGAACTCTTTGGTTGTAACCCAATAGATTTATACTATCCTTGATTCCATATATAGTAAAAAATAGCATACGAAAAAATCAATAAAATATTGGTATTTGTTTTTAAAAAAGTATTTATATATCTTGTTGCTGTAACTAATTTGTAATAATTAAATAAAATCTATTTCAATAAGTAAATATAATATTAACGTTAATAAATAATAATTATTTTAAAATGTGCTTGTAAATTATATTTTTTTAATGGATAATATACAAAGTCAACAAATAGTTGAATTATTCAACGAATCAGATTTGTTAAATACATTATTTTGAAATGAAATTGATTTACTACTACTTTTACCTGTTTTTACAGGTTTTGTTACAGACCATATATTAATAACAAATTTAATTTCTCCAATAAGTGCTTCCCATGGAGTGATCTATACAAAATTCAAGAAAATTGTATTATATAAAGGTTTTGAAATTCATCATCAGTCATATGTTAAATATGAATAAATTTACCTTCTCGTCGATGGCAACTTTACGAATATTCCAAAGAAATTCTATAATCGCTATAAATGTTGAAATAATACACCCCAACATTAATACAAGAAATACACCTCCAACATGAGGCATTCCAAGTTCATTGGAGTTTGTTGGTTCATCAGATTCTTCAGCACACTTACCACCGCCCATTTCTTTCCACCACTTTTGTTTCAGTTGTTGTAATTCCCCTTTTTCTTGGAGGTGTAATATAGCTCTACTTATCATTGTGCGATAAGGAGAATCTAAGATATATAATATTGTTAAAATTAATATTTTAATAATGATATCATTTGACTATAACGGTTATAAAAAATATAACAAAACTTACTAAAAAATTAAACATAAAAATTAAAAAATTAATAAAATAATTGTAATTTAATAAAGATATGTAGTCGAGAAAAACAGTAATAACTGATCCTTACTACTAATCACTATACTAGAATAATAAGTAATGATCTTTTAAAAAAATATTTTGTTGATAATAATGATTATAATGAAATAAAAAATGGTAATTATTGCAAAAATAATAAAATCAATACGAAGTGACAGTAATATGCAGATAGATAAATTTCTGTAATTAATATTTATAAATTTATCAAAGTATTACAAATTTATGTATATTTCAAGTAATTGTGAGATTTTTATCGATATTTTTATTACTGAAATATTTTTAATAAAAACATGATATGTAATAGTTACTGTCTGGGATCAGACTAAAAAACCTCCTTATGATGGTGGGTGGAGGCTTGCTGGCAAGTGGAAGGGGCAATGCAATTATTCAATATTGCCTTTAATGTTTATAGTCTTTCCTTTCATTAAATATAATAAATAATGAATAGTTAATAATCCATGAATGGTTTAATGAATGTGTGATAGAATGAATAGATGAGTGTTTCTTCATTAATGTTGGTGGCGATAAGTCTGTACATGTATTCTTGATAGCCTGGAGCGTGATTCCCCTTCTTCCTTTGGGTTGAGTAGTTGTAGTGGGAGACTCGTGGTGGTAGGGGCAGCAAGTTGGTGCCGTCTTAGCAGCCGGCGTGGGGTGAGCTGTAGTGTGCGGATTGGTGGGAGAATGTCCGTGTGACATCACTGCTTGCATACGTGAACTGAAATGTGATCGTGGTATTGGTGCACGTTCGTGTGCTCGATGTGGGCGTAAAACGAGGTGTAGAGGTAAGATGTAAGAACGAACAACTGGTCGTATCTTACTTGAGTTGGCGGGAACCGCGGTGTAGAGATAAGATATAAGAACGAGCGTCGGCATATCTTACTTGAGTTGACGGGAACCGCGGTGTAGAGTGGCGGTCCTGTCGTGATGGGTGCTTTTTAACTAGTAAGAAGTAGTAAGGAACGAGCGTCTGCGTTGCTTACGGAGGCGTGAGTGCCAGTATAGTTGTGGCATCGCTATTAGTTCCTTAGGTTGCTTGATGCTTGCCATGGCCTCACAATGGCGATTGCAGGGTTGGATAGTGAGCCCGATGTGGAGAGTGCGTGATTGGTACTAGCAAGAAGTAATCGCGGCACGTGCAGCTCCTTAAATATTCTCGTATGAACTGGATGCGCCGATAGCATCGGTGGCTGTTACTATGCCGCTATTTATCGTGACGTCAATAAGGCATAGCTTTGTAGGGTTCATTTGTTATTACTTCTCGGAATTATAGTCGTATATTGGAGTTTTACGGGTAGAAGCATTCTTTGAGTCTGTTGGCCAATGTTTACAAAACAAATTTTCGCGCGCTCATACCTCTCCCATTTTATATTCCGCTTAAAAATACTGTAATCCGTAACAGTTACAAATATCATTTATTCTAAAATAACATACTTATACCGGAAATTGAAAGATTAACATCAAATTATATAAATACAATATTACATTTTATATGGGAGATAATAATATTTATAGTAGATTAAAAAATAATTATTGGAGAAATATAGGTTCAAATACTACATAGTGGACTTGTTTAAAAATAGTGTACCGAGCGAGGAGGGCCAAGTAACTAAGATTAGGTGTGAGCTCCCGATGTTGATAGGAGGATTGCAGACTAATGGACAAGATAGTACATGTATTCAATAAAGAATAGTTTTGTTATTTAGTTTTGTTTTATTTATATGATTGCACTAGTTGACTTATAATTAGCTTTATTTTTATAATTGAATTTTGCTTTTGTTCATTTATATGTTTATTGCCACTGAGCTATCACGTACGTCGCATACACAAGAAGAAGTTGATGCCTTGCTGGTCCTCTATATGTAACACACGTGTAGATGGAATAATACACACAGAAGAGCAAGGTCGTAAACCCCCGCGCTTCCTTGTATATGAGCACGTGGCGTTGCTTGAATTGCTTGTATTGTGTTTTGCAGATATCTTTCCGTATCTGCAGATTGGCGCGTATGGCTTGATATAGTTATGTATTAATTAGGAATGGAACATTACCTCGTAGTTCTGCACGTTGTGTATAGCTATGTTTTGTCTTGTTCTTTGAATTTACCTCGTGTGGCTCTTTGCAGTTTGATTGTGTATACTGTGCGAACTGGTATTCGTAATTCTCGATTCCCCTTTTTTACTTGTATTGCACTGCTGCGAGTGTATGAATTGATTATCTAGTACTTGTGTTGAATAGATTAATCTTGTGTAATTAACTTGGACTTTCGAATTGTTTGACTGCGTTTTAATTGATTTGTTCTTTTTCTGTTAGATAAGATAAGTGATTGTGTCGTGCCGGTATTTCCATTTTTAAAGCCTTCTCTCGACCACGCGGTTGTCGGTGACAATTCCCTCTCTTTTGGTGTCGCCAATCAGAGCTGTCTTGTCGATCATGGCGTCGCCAATGAGATTTAGTCTTATTAGTATGCCCAATCAGAATTCTTCTTTAGTTTATGGTAATTCTAATCACGGCGCCTTTCGAGTGGTGGGGTCTCCCAAGATCCAAGATGGAGGCTCCAATGAGAGCGGGTCTTGCTCAACTCCCCTCCATGATGGGAGGTCTTGATGCCGCGCTTTTCCCTCTCCATCCTAGCATTGTCGCATGCATTTCTTATAATCATGCGCGTTGCGATCGGTCAGTGTTGTGAAGGTTAGGTGTAGCATTGTTTTTGAGTGTATCAACTGGCTTGTGTTTTTCAGCCTAATTTTATGACTTGTATACGCCAGATGTTTATGATTTGTCGTCGATAGATGCTTTATGGCGAGGCCGTGTCAAATGTTTCGTCGCATTAGTTTTTATGACTTGTTTTGCTGGACACTTGAAACTTTGTTCTCGCTAGATGTGTTTATGAATTGTATTTTTCTTTGGAAATTCGATGTTTTGCTGAATTGTTTTGAATATTATTTCACGAGTAGCCGAGAGTTCGCCTTTGTCGGAACTCTTATCTCGAATTTTCCACATGTTTAATGAGCTGGGAGTTTTCTTACATTCTTGAACAGGACTTAGGCTACACTGAATGACAAACTAATAAATGAGTATAGATTAAAGTAATGTAATAAATTAATATAAACATGTATGGAAAAGTATTGAACAATTATATAACTATCATAATTGAGTAAACTCAATGAAGATACACGATTATTACATAAAGTTAAATAGATTTGTTAATCATAATGCATACAACTTTATTAATTATTCTGCTCCTTAATTAATCCTTAATCTAAAGTCAACATTTGTGTTCTATATATCTTGATCAATAGTACTATCTATTTTATAGTACTTTTAGGTAATGATCGTACATTAAACGATATGACACTATTGCATGTATAAAAATATAAATTTTATTATTACATAGTCATTATTCATTTATCTGTTTTTGTCCACATTTAATTTCATTGAATTTGAAACGAGAGCTAGATTAAAAATAATTAAAACGTCTAAAATTATGTAATATTATATCATTTCCACGAAGTGGTCTTAAAATGTATATTTAAATGTTTTACACGGAATATTTTCGAATTTCATTACAAATTATCCTTATATATATATAAAACATATATATGTTGACATTTGAATTGTGTTATTCTATAAAACACACATATATATATATATATATATATATATATATATATATATATATATATATATATGTGTGTGTGTGTGTGTGTGTGTGTGTGTGTGTGTGTTAGAAATAAAATACTTACTTGGAGGCATAGCAATACCATATCCTTTATTATCCAACAGTGTACCAACCATTTGAAGTTCGCAATGTCTTTCAATTTGATACTCTATTGATGTTGACTCCATAAAAAAAGCATATTTTCGTTTTCCTTTAATTACGCGATCGACACCTTCATTGTTAGATTCAGTAAAAACTGATGGTTTGGCTTCGGTCATTGTATTAAATATACGTTGATAAATCGATGTATTGGAATTCTGTAAAAGTAATGTGATTAATATTTGATGCACGTGATAAATAATTATCTTTATTTTAACTTACACTAGTATTATTAATTAAAATTATAAATAAGAAAGGTAAGAATGGTAATTATAAATAAGATGTAATAAATAGTTTATTTCAGTTTAGTTATTTATTTCAAAATTAATAATACTAAATATTAAAAGGCGCATCGTTCAAATAGAACAGTTTTAAACAAATTTGAAATATAATAATAAAATAATATATTTTACTTATTTGTATAAAAATTAATTCCACTAATCCGGCTTCTAGAACCAAACGTATAGAATTAGAACTAAGAAAACCATTAAATGTTGTGTGGAAGAATGCGTGGGCAAGTGGAGGGGTTAATGCATTGATTCAATAATTAACACATATAATTCTTATTGCTGTTAATTCCATTTATTTTTCAATTTTCTTCCAATTTAGGGATTATTAATCGTGATGTGGTTATAAATGACCTTTATGTTTCTCAATAATAATGTGGCGTTGTGGTATACTTCTATTGGAGAACAAGAAGGTTGCGAAGTTCTTGATTCTCTGGACGAAACGTGTTAACTAATGATCTACTGTGGAAAGAAATAGGCTATAAAACTATTGTCACTTGTTTGAATACTATCACTTGAGACGTTATGGCTGTTTGTTGTGCGCTTGAACGAACACAACTATTCTTGTCTGCGTCCTGGTCATAGCACGTGTTGTAGCTGCCTCTAATAATAAGTCGTGTGAGTGAGCACGAGCTTAAGATTGAGGTTAGAGGAAACGCACGCCACTAAATGGTGCGACTTACTGATCTCGCGTAGTGAGCATGTGCGGGAAACTTCTGGACACTAACTGCTTGTAGGTCTGTGTTCGAAAATTATAGTGATGTAATTCTTGGCTCGAACTGCCAATGCTTCAATAGCTTAGTTAGACGCCCGGGAAGGAGTGAGATGTAGAGGCTGTACAAGAGTCATGAGAGTTGGTTAATGACCGACTCCCCCTTCACGCTGCCAACAAGTTGTCATGCTGTCGCCAGATGCGTCAGCAGCAACGAAAGCTCTTCTTGCCATGAAGACCAAGAGACAACTAGGCCCTTACTTAACTATGAAGCCATAATAAGAGCCATAAGGGAGAAGTCTCTGATTGGACGAAAAATAAGGGAAGGGGTTCAAGTGAAGCTCATGGTCAGCAAATGTATTTAAGGGTGCATTTTTTAATATTCATCACTCACGATATTGTTTTTATTCAAATAAGTCAAGTGGAAGTCCATTAACGCTGTCAAAGGAACAGTAATTACAAGCCCTGGAGGAACGACGACATACACCCGTATGTCCACCAACACAGTTCAAGAAACCGTTGTTACATGTTCAAAGGGAGCGACGATCATCCGCATATCAGAGTCCGGAGACGAGTCAACGATTAGTCTTCGTAAGTAGTATCACCACTACAGTAATTAAATAAAACTTAAGATTCAGAATACGTCTTCGACAATCTTATTTATATCAAATTTTTATATCAAATATTTTTATATCAAAGAGACAGTGCGGAATAATTCCAAGCTCGTCGTCAAGGTCGCATCATCTGGTGCGGGACTTGCCGGTCTTTCACCTCATCTTAGTGAAAAGTCTGACTCTTATCAATCCACAGCATGCTATATATCGCTCGCAGAAGACACAACAAGTAGCAGTATTCTTCATGAGGTAAAAGCCCTTTAAACTCTTACTTCCATCTGAATTTATTGCAGTACGCCAATATCAGGACAAAGATACGACTATTTTTCACTCATAACAACAGTTACATGTGTTGCGCTACATACCAACCATAACCTCAATTACGCACGTGCTCATCCAAACAGCGCGAGTGTCGACGAATCAAACTTCGCGCCATTCTGTGCTCACATTCAAACATCACGATGCGTAGATGAGTCTATACGTTCATCCACCACGAGAATTATTTCCATAATTAATAATAGTAATACTAGTTAACCTTGTCATTAATAAATAACAGAATAAACAGCATATACATCAGCCATATTTATATTGTATTATTATAATATCCCTTCCACTTGTGACCTGTCATTGCTACCACACCACACCCGTGGCCTCTGAGTTATCAAGGGATCAATTTGTATCCTGCGAACCGGCCTTGTAAAACATGTCGGAACGGCGAATACATTTTGTACACTCTCCTTGAGATTACGGGAATCTCATTCCTTGAGCTTTACTTGCTTGGCGAGATTAAATATATCTGTGGTCAAGAATCACTGAATGAAAGCTATTTATACAAGACTCAGGGAACGACTTTTCCCTGTTCCTCCTTCTAAGGGAATAGTTATGACTTTTCGTTAGAATAAGTGGTGGTACATAGTAATTGTCCTTCTTAAATAGTTCACTGGCCAGGTTACATGTAGGAACCCCTTCTTCTTTCTTGTATCCAATCGGAGTGCGTCTTTGGGCGGTATGATTGATCATGCACGCCTTCGTTTCCATTTCTTTCCGGGTTTAGTCTTGAATACGCTAAAACCGGAAAAGTATCTGAAAGGGGGGGGTCGCCTATTCGTCTTCTATCCCTTCTCTGGGACTTATCGATATTGGAGGTCCTCTGGGAACGCTGTCGATTGGCTAGCGCGATCGGCAATATTCGGCGTAGTTGAAAACAATGTAAGCATTGTCTTAAAATGCTGATGCGCACTTACGCCGATTGCTTGATGTCGCACGTGCTGGGGTTTTGGGTTGCAGTAAAAAGTAGGAAACGTTTTTTAGTGGTCAAGTGTTTCATGTACATCTGGCACTTCCAATTGTTCTAGCACTGTTCGAATTTAAAGGGTTAGCTTATGGCTCGAACTGCCAATTCAATAGTTCAGTGGATTAGTCTCTCGGCAGGATAATTTTAAAGGAAATCAATAACGGACAAGGCTGAAAAATATAATATATTTATTT